TTGAAGAAAATAATAAATCAATATCCATTAATGTTTATGAAATTGATGATGATGAACATATTGTTATTAGTAGAAAATTGAAAAATAAAGATGCTTCTTTTCATTTTGATTTGTTAAGAGTTGATGATGAGGATTGCAGTCATTATGTGTATATAAAAAGTTTGAGCAGACTTATTAATAATCAAAAAAGTAATCATAATGGCAAGTCCTATTTTTGTAAATATTGTAATCATGGATTTAGACATGAAGAATTATTAAATAAACATTATGATAGTGGATGCATGGAAGTTGAAGGACAACAGATAGTAATGCCTAAGCCTTATGAGAAAGTGAGTTTTAAGCATCACTTCAAAAAGTTAAGGTGTCCTTTTGTTGTATATGCCGATTTTGAATGTTTGACAGAGGAACTGAAAAAGCCTGATGAAGATGAAGATAAAAACACTTTTTCTTATCAAGAGCATAAACCATGTGGTTTTATGCTTAATATGGTTAATGCTGTTGATAATACAAATTATGAATTTATGTATCGTGGTAAAGATGCTGTTGATGTGTTTTGTCAAAAACTTAATGAGATTAGGGCAGAAGTAAAGGAGAAGATGGGAGAAAACGAAAAAATAGACATGACTGATGAAGACAAAGAAGATTTTAAAAATGCTAAAAACTGCTTTATTTGTGGGGATAAGTTTAGAATGAACTATAAGAATGCCAAGGAAGCAGAGAAATATAGAAAAGTTAGAGACCATTGTCATTTTACAGGTAAGTATAGAGGTTGTGCTCATAATGTTTGCAATCTTAATTTTTGTAATAGATATTTTAAAATTCCTGTATTCTTTCATAACATGAAAAATTATGACGGTCATTTAATTATTCAAAATGCTGATAAATTAAGTAACAACAGTAAAATAGGTGTCATCGCTCAGAACAGTGAAAAATTTATTAATATCAGTTTTGAAAGTTTGAGTGTTAAAGACACTTTTGGGTTTTTAACTGCTTCATTAGATAAGTTAGTTTCAATGAGTAAGTATGACAATACAGATGAAGAAGATAAAAGTAAATGGTTATTGCGTGAAAACTGGAAAGATAATTTTAGGTTTAGTAGTAAAAATGATTTGGTTAAGAGTGAGAAATGTCTAGATTTATTAACTGATAAAGGCGTTTATCCTTATGACTACATGAATTCATTTGATAAATTTGATGATGAGCAATTACCGAGTAAGGATGATTTTTATAGTCAGTTGAGTGAAGAAGGTATAAGTGTTAACGACTATGAAAGGGCAAAAATTATATGGAAGCATTTCGACATTAAGAATATGGGTGAATACCATGATTTATATTTGAAAACTGATGTATTATTATTGACTGACATTTTCGAAAATTTTAGAGATGTATGTATGAAATATTATGGATTGGACCCTGCTTATTATTATACATTGCCTAACTTTGTTTTTGATGCTATGCTTAAAATGACTGGTGTAGAGATTGATTTAATATATGACCGAGAAATGTATGAAATGATAGAAGCGGGACTTAGAGGCGGGATGTGTATGGTTTCTACTAAAAAAGTTGAAGCAAATAATAAATACATGGGAGAAGAATATGATAAAAATAAAGAAAGTAGTTATATTAACTATTTTGATGCTAATAATTTGTATGGGTTAAGCATGATACAAAAACTGCCATATAAAAATCTAAAATGGGATGATACATTAAAAGAAGAAGACATTATTAATTATAAGAATAATAATAATGGATATATTCTAGAAGTGGATTTAGAATATCCTAAAGAATTACACGATTTACACAATGACTATCCAATGGCACCTGAGGTTATGAATGTTAAAGCCGACATGCTGTCAGATAAACAAATTGAAATTTATGAATTTTTAAATCATAAAAAACCTACGGATGAGAAAACAAATAAATTAGTATTGAATTTAAATGATAAAGAAAAATATGTAATCCATATAAGAACCTTACAATTTTATTTGAAGCAAGGGTTAAAACTTAAGAAAATTCATAGAGCAATTAAATTTGAACAAAAAGAAGTTTTAAAACCTTACATTGAGTTTAACACTGAGAAGAGGAAGAATGCTAGAAATGATTTTGAGAAAGATGTTTACAAATTGATGAACAATGCCATATTTGTGGAGGATAAGCGAAAACATTTAGACTTTGAAGTTGTGAGTGATGAAACTAGATATATGAAGTGTGTAAGTAATCCTAACTTCAAACATAGTCATATCATTAATGAAAATTTGGTTGGAGTTGAAAAGCAAAAAACAAAGTTGAAACTAGACAAACCTATATTTATTGGGATGAGTATTTTAGATTTGAGTAAGCAACACATGTATAAATTTTATTATGACGTTATGAAGCCTAAATATGGAGATAATATTAAAATGGTATATACTGATACTGATAGTTTTGTATTTCATACTAAAACCAATGACATTTATGAAGACCTGAATACAATTAAAAAAGAATTAGATTTTTCAGATTATCCTAAGGAACATAAATGTTATGATGATAATAACAAGAAAGTATTAGGTAAATTTAAGGATGAATTAAAAAGTAAAATAATAACAGGGTTTATAGCTCTTCGTCCTAAATGCTATGCTTACTCAGTTTATGGTGATGATAAAAAATATAAGAAATGTAAGGGCATAGCAAAAGGCACAGTAAGACGTCAAATGAAATATGAAGAGTTTGAGACGGTTTTAAAAACTAATAAGGTTATACATAAGTCATTTAATAGTATTAGAAGTAAAAACCACAGAATTTTTAGTATAGCAACTAAAAAAATTGCTCTTAGTAGTTATGAAAACAAAAAATATTGGATAGATAGTGTAAACTCACTTGCTTACGGCCATTATAAAATAAATTCTTTGAAAACGACTTAAAGAAATATTGACTTAATATATTAAGAGGAAAAATGACACTGTTTAATTATAGTAAGTGTGAATGTTGTAATAATAAAAAGAATGATATTAATTTTACATTGTATAACTTATTACCTGCTAATCTGTGTAATAAAATAAGTGAATATGATGTATATTGTAATCAATGCTGTATAACAAGAGACCTTGAAAAGTTGTTTGTTGAAGAATATAAGGATAAGGGATATACAAAGTTTCAATTAAAATTGAAATTCTTTGTGAAATATCAAAACCGATTTCCTGTATATTTTTGTCATAAAATTGCAAGAAAGTCATTTGAAAAAGAAATTGATGAGTTTTTTAATAATAAAGATTTGATTAAAAGGTTTGGAGGAGAACTAAGCATTAAACCATATAAATCATTTGCTAAAGAATTTCGTGATTTGTTTGAAGAGATTGATTGGCATTTATTAAGCAAAGATAAAATAAACAAGGTCTTGAATGAATTTAGAATAACTAAATATCATGTATGGTATTACTACAACACTAAATATAAAGTATGTCTATTGCTGTATTTATTCTTTTGGGAATATATTTATTCAATAATAGGAAAAGACAATATCAAATATATAGACATTGGTGATATTGATAAATATGTAGATTACATATTTGAAGACATATTGCCTGACTGTTATCTTAAATCCTTAATTCTTAATTGAAATATAATTATAACATGTAAAATATTATATGCTATAATTATACTATACTTATGGTTAGTTTCTTAATTTTTATTAATGCCTTAAACATGACTTAAAGAAATAGTGCCTTAATATAATAAGAGGAAAATGAACGGTGAGAAAATCAATAATTATATCAATAAAAAATGCTATGATTGTTGTCACTTCAAAAAAGAAAATATGGAATTGTATAAATTAAATTTACCTAATAAAATATTGAATAATATTATTAATTATTCAATGTCTGAAGAAGATGAATGTAAAATTTGTCAGGAATGGAGAGATAATCAAGTTTTAATCAAATGTCTGTTGAGAATAAAAGGGAGACATAATAGAAATGTAGAAGATGAGATTTTAATATTTCTAACTGTAAATAAAATACCACCTTACGATTATATTAAACAGTTTCTTAAAATCCCTAAGAAAAATATGGTATGATTGATGATATATTAAGGATGTTGTGTTATAGTCAAGAGAAAGGACAAGATGTTAAAGAAAATATCAAATTATTTATTGAAAGTAAAAATTTTAATGTTCAAAATACATTGAGAGATATTAATATTATTTTTAAAATGATGTATGAAAGAAGTAAGACAAATCAATTAAATTATTATCCTGTACTGAAATTATAATCATACTATGATTATCACATGTAAAATATTATATGTTATAATTGTAATATATTTATCGTTTGTAAAGATTGAATTATTATAATTTGCTTATCTCTTTCAAAGTGCGTTGTTTAGACTTGGCATGCTTCTTCAATTTTTTCGTGCTTTGGCTGTTTGTTTTTGTTTTGTTTGATACTCTTGTGATATTTTTTGTTGGTATGTTGCTTTGATTTTTGTTGATGTGTGCTTTTGAGTTTGGGTTCTTTGATGATTTAGAGTGTTGCTGTTTTGTTGGTATGCTTGTTTGAATTATTTAATGTTGTATGCTGTGATTAAATATTTTTGTTGTTGGTTGTGATTATTTATTTTGTTTGCTTGTTGTTCTGGATTTTGTTTTCTGTTTGTTGTGTTGCTGTTGGAAAAAAAATAGTAGAAAGAATAATTCTTTGAATTCTCCTTTTACTATTTTTGGGTGACCCTTTGAACGGGTGTCCAACCAAAAAGCAGGTTCTAGGCTACACTCCTCCTCTCGTGATCGCCCCCCCTGAACCCAAACGGCTTGACTCAGATTCCCTGCCAGGGCTGTACACCACTTGGCGCACATCCGGGCGGTGGATGGCTGCGAGATCCCATCTCCCGCCATTCTTCGGAAACCCAACGGAATGAGTCGATCAACCTAAATACCGTAACAAACAATGGTTTCACCCATAATTTTGACGGTGGTGCAGGATTTTGTCCATCCGCGGTACGTTTTCTACTCGAGAAAAACATATCTCCTCTCGTGAGCTTCATCCAGCATGATGATGGAGTACTTGCTCACCTCCGGTCCATCGGTCGATCAGCTTGCTTGTTTTCTCGGACATTGTCCGTTACACTTCCCTTTGGCTCAATCCAATGTGTGTAATCAATAAATAAGTATCTAATATATATATATAATATATATATATATATGTTCTAGGTGTGTGTGTGTGTCACATGGTGGTCGTCCTTCGGGATTTCCTTTTCAACCGACCCCGAAAAGGGCACCTTCAAAAACCTCACACACGCATACAGCCATGCAGTTCCTAGGGTGCTGGCCATGTCATCTGACAGGATCTCACGCAGCAGCATGCCATCCGTCATGTACTTGATCAGGGTCTCCGGGCCCGTCTGATCCTCTCGAAGCGAAGCCAAGCAAAGCGCAGCGATTTTGCGCGAGTCGATCTGTGCCCCAAAAAACCGCATGGCACCAACCATGCACCCCGTTCACAGAGTCTGTAACCCGAACCTCTGATCAGCTCAAAGTGAAAAAGCTCACGTCTTCAACTCGCTCCAATTTGCCATGTCGCGCTCCTCGAAACGGATGGCATAGCCCACTTCCTGGCCTTAGCCAACGCTCACGGGGGAAGCCCTGCGCAAGAATCGGCTTCTCTCGAAGATGTCACCTACGATAGATCCGGTTGACATGTGTCACAGTCACCAAAATACCATGCGGAAACGGGGGCTGCACCGAAATCCAATTGGCACTCACATCTCTGCCTGGAGGCTCACATTTCTGGGGTGGGAGTTCCCGTATTCGATGTTTGTCGTCCTTTGAGGGAAAATTAAAATTGAAACTAAGCTTCCAGGGGTCAGCCCCCTGAAAGTTCATGTTTGGGGGGCACAAAAAAACATGAGGATGGTCAAACATCTCCAGGGTCAGCTGTTAAACCTCACACTCAGGTAAACATGTCAACTTGTTTCGATGAGAAAAGCCTCTTGTCATGCCGCCTCAGCTCCGACATCGCATGGGAAGAGTCGGCAGTTGCCGGTTCAGGAAGAGTTCAGTTCAGTTCGGCCAAACCCCCACTTGCAACAACGCAAGATGATTGTTTGGACCTCTGTTCGTCAAAGGCTTCCCATTTTTTCTCAGGGGCCTGCTTTTTGGTGCGGATGGAAAGGGGGCACGTGTCCTCTCTGATGTCGTACTCTGGGGTCCAACCAAAAACATCTTGTTGTTCTGCTTCTGCCCCACTCCACTCCCCGATGATCCTTTCACCGGTTCCTGGTAGAGAAAACCTACAAGGCCCCTGATTCTGGAGATGGACCAAAAACATGTAGCTGGCAAGTGGTGTATCCCGGTATTCCTGTGCTGCAGGCTTCCGTCCAGCCAGAGCATTTTTGGCCACGCCCTCTAAGGGCTTATACTCTCGCTCAACGTGGCTGGCTGGGTTCATCTTTGAACCCCCCTCTTGAATCAAGGTCGCTTCTTTACCTCGAAAAGTGATGCAAAAAGAAACCTGCCTGCTAACCCGTGACAATTCACCTTGAATGGCTCCCCCTGCCCTCTTATATGGGACGCCCCTCCCAACCAATTTGGTGGGCTTGAATGAAAGTATTTCTTCGGATTGAAAAGGAGAAGGGAAACCAAAGGATTCTCAGTACAGCTCTCATTTGCCAGTTCTCAGTAGGGTCATCCAAGTGGCTTCCTCTGGGAGCCGGAGGAAAACTCAACCTGAGAATCAATGGGTAGAGCTATGGACAAAATCCAGTTGGATGTTAGGTGGAGTGAAAGGGTGCTGTGTTCATGGGGGGTTGGTGGTTTTCTTCAGAGGGTTGAGTTGATCCGAAGGTGGTTTATCTAGTCTGTGTTCAACAAACTTCCTGAGTGGACTGGCCAAAAAGACTAAAAACAAATGCTTACCACCAAAAAGGGTCCAAACCCACAAAAGCTTAAAGTCCGAAGCTCCGAAACGGAACTCGGGGATTCAACGAATCCTATTGAGCTCAAGGCTTTGGCTGAGATAAAACCGAGCTTCCGCGCCCAAACGGCAGCCGTACTCCTCAGAGACGCGCTTGGCCACGGACATGGCCTGGCATTCGCATGGGGCCATGGCTCGCTGGACACAACTGGACGCCCTACATATCGCAAGGGAACAAGGGAACCCCCGATTGAATCCACATGGATTCTGGCCGGTTTGCTTTAAGCTTTTAGGGCATCCACCACACAACCACCGTGGTGAGACGCTTGCAACCAGGGTAGCTCACCACTGAACTCCTTGGTGCTTTGGGCCCTTTAGGAGGGCACATCTTGCCCAAGGCCTGGCTCAAGCACATGGACAAAATGGTGACCCTCCCCCCGCTCCCATGGACCCCAATGCGGGGAGTCCCAAAAGGAGACACGTTTGGCAACCTGAGCCGTGGTGATACGAGCTTGGCGACACTTCGGAGATGCCGGCTTGGGCAGAGAAAAGTGGTGTCGTTGACATCAGGCCCTAAGAATCATCTATAACACTCAGATAGCATAAAACCAAACAAGTACACTTCGAACACAATCGGAGATTTTCCGGGAAGTGGGTGGGCCACAACCGGAGGCCCATGTGCTAACTTTGCTAAAATGCCGTTGGGCCTGCAAAGTTTGTCTTTTGCAGCGACGGTCAAAGCACTTGTCATTTCGTTACATTGGGGAGGAGGGGGAATGGTGCACATGTTGAAGTGTTTCATTTTGGCGCCTTTAACACAGGCGGGGAATGCATCGAACTTGACCCTGAGATCGTATTGGTGACAAAGTCGGCCTCTTGCGTCTGCCATTTGCGCTCTGAAAACACCCCAGCCATGCCCCCTTCACGCATCACACCTAGGTCCTCCAGTAGAGAAGTTGGAATAAGGCTACCCTCCCAAAAAAGAGTAAAGGGCACTACTGGGGGACCTAGACACAGACACCGCCACGGGTCGCCCCTCCCCCCGGCAACGTCAGCTCCCCCGGGGTCAACTCAGTCCAAACGGGGCTGGGCAGGCCGCCACTCGGCGGGGCTGCGTGCACCCGATCACGCCCCGGGAGGTGTAGCCCGCCTACGGGACTCAGAAAGCCGGCGGCCAACAAGGAACCCGGCGCCTCGTCTTTTGAGGCTCATGTTTTTTGTTTGTTTCGCCTTTTGGTTTAAAGGGAGAGTTTGTGTCTGTGTGTGTGGTCGAGGTCTCAGATTTTTGGCAGGGGGTCCAGAAAAAAGCCTTGAAATACCAGCAAGGTTGAAAGGTTGTGGCTGACTTTTTCGAGGCTACCCTTGTCACCTTGGTTGGGGAAACACTAGGAATCCGTAGAAACCCACTTTGTAACTCGTGACCCGCGTAGCAGCTTTAGTGGGAAAGCCTCCGAACCCAAAGAGAAACAAAATCGGTTCGCCACGGAACTGATGATCTGATTGCTTTGGAAGCGAGTCAACGAACCACAGCCGTGGCAGGCGCCTTTGGGTTTCCGATTTGCCCGCGAGGCTCCTTTTTTTCATTCAACAAGTCTTGCCCCTGCTGGAAGCCTAAGCGGAATTGCCCCCCAATCCGCCTCTTGAAGTAGGGGGTGGCGCCCCTCTCATCTCATCTGAAATGAGGGGCCGCGTGCAAGGTGGATGGACTCAAATTTGCCCTCTCGACAAAGGCTTTGCACAAAGGCTTTGCAAAACCTTCTTGTTTGAATGTCTCTGAGACAACCCGAAATCTCGACCTCGGCGGTCTCTGGTCCTTTCTGGGCCCCGGATTAAGATGTTGGCCTCGGGGCAAGTACCCAATAAATGGGTGTGCCGCGATATGCTTTAAATGAACAGTCGAGAGAAACCTATGAGCATGTTGGAAACTTGGAATGGCGACACCTAGGACTATGAAACGAGCGAGTCCTGGCACAAGTATTGCCAATAGTTTGTCATGTCACTCTTTTGCCGGAGAGTATGAAGAGTGGTGGCGAACTGATTGCGGAGCCCCATCCAAATCAACCAACGCATTCCCTCCTAGAGCAATCGCCTGTTTCTGGGCATCCTTCTGATAACAAGCCGGTTGTCCGACCTTGACACACACACACACATGCACGTTGCAAGTATTTTCTTTCTGCCTGCCTCATCAGTTGCTCAGATTTTTTTGCGATCGCCAAGTTGGCCGGCCGGTTGAAACGTACACGGGTTCCAGATTGCACGTTGCGCAGTTGCTCCGTGAAACTTCGAACGAAACTCAAAACATCAAACAAGACAAAACTTTTAGCAATGCAAGCCCCGCTTGGCTGCAGGTTTCCGTGAGCCTGGATGAATTCCCCCAAGAATTCACTTGTGGCAGGGGTGTTACCCATGTTTGCGTCAACGATGCGCCCAGACCTTGTCAAAAAGCTACATTCCCCTTGCCTGGGCTCGCATCTGTGGTACAAAGAACATATGTTCAGATCTCATACTTCATCTACCCCATATGGGACCAAAATGCTGGCTCTCTTTGCTTCCCTTTCAAGCATACCGTACCCAACAAAAATTGAACACTCATATTTGCAATAGCTTTGGATGCGACCCCAGTTGCAACCCGACGACGCCAGGGCCAGCCTCTGCCAAGTACTGCGTGATCTGGGTGGTCTTGCCACTGCCCGTCTCTCCGATCACAATCAGCACCTATGCCGCCCACTCGCAAACAAAACCGGACCTAAGGCAAACCCCGCAGTCGGATGGGAAATTCAGGAAAAGGGCCGCCGAGTTCCAATGCTCGTTGTCGAGATTCCCTGGAACATGTTTCCCACAAACAAACAAAAAAACTGGGCCCTCCTTAGCGCGGAGCCCAAACATATGGCCATGAGTCAAAAGCCAAATCGTTCCCCCAGTGAACATCAACCAATCCCCACTAAAATAAAAAGCCTAAAATCTTAGTTCATGAGTGGCGAATTCACCCACCCACCCAATCCCCACTAAAATAAAAAGCCTACAGTAAAATGAGTGGCGACTTCACCCGCCCCAAAATGGGATCCCATGACTTTTTTGAGCCACCGCCATCTGTCTCATGAGCTCCGGGCTTTCAAGCTCTTCACGTCGCGTGTCCAGACGTCGCGACGTGGGTGCAGACACCCCACCACTTCCCCAGCTCATCTGTCATTTGCGTCTTCGCCCCCTGGAAAACATAGAAACATGTCCAGTAGTCCTAGATTCCCTTTAAAACCAACAGGGGGGAAAGAAAGAATATGAACTTAAGCAAATGGAGGTCATGTGGTGGATTGGAGTCGTGTTTTCAAGGTGAGGCTACCTCCCCAGGGGTTCACATCCTCACACTCAACAAGGGCTGCCGGAAAAGAAGGGGTTTCACCCAAAACAGGTTACACGGCAAACAGCATGGGTTTGTCTCGAAAGGGGGAGCTCAAAATGGGTTTCTCATTAAACCAACCCAAGAAGGGGGTGCCCTGAAAAAAACACCCGAAAGGTATGTGTCAGAATAGGTGACCCCAGCAAACAAACCGCCGACTGCGGCTGAAATTATTATCTGATTCAACCAACCTGAAATTTGGTGGGTTCTCACCGTGGCCCGCCAAAGCGGTAGCCGGTTTGCTGGTGGCTTCCCTACCCAAAAAAGACAAAAACCCGCCCAACTGCTGTCGCGGCGCGTCATTGTCGCGGATGGCTTGGAGCAGCTCGTTCCGCAGCTTGAAGATGGGAAGGCTCTGGCGAGAGAGAGGAAAAAGCGGCGGCCCCGGTTTTAGGCTTACCCGGCTTTGGGTTGGTTTTAAAGGGAAACCAACCAGAAAACCACAATTTGCAGGGCTACCACATTTCGTTGCTGTTTGTCCCTTTTTTTTGGGGGGGGAGGGGGATGACCGTTTTTTAGGTGGCTGGACCCTCAACCTACTCATAAAGAAGGGAACTCACCAACCATAATTGTGCGGTTGCAAAAGCCCATTGGTCAGCCGCTCCCCCCAGGAGTTTTGGTAGTGACAATAGAGTGCCTTGTAAACCTCGAAACCTTTTTAGAAGCAAACAAGATGTTGTGCGATGCTCAACTAAAGCTGCGCCGGCTGTAATTGAGAAGTTCAGACGAACGGGGTAGAACCATGCAACATTTTGGCTCAGGGACTTCCATCCATGTGCGGATATTTGGGCAACCCCATGGAAATTGAATTGTTTGTGCCACTTGAATGACTTCAGATTCAGATTTTGGATACTACCAATTACTACCACCACTACGACCACTACTGCTAGTACTACTACTACTACTACTACTACTACTACTACTACTACTACTACTACTACTACAACTACTACTACTACTACTGCTACTACTACTACTGCTACGACCACTACTGCTAGTACTACTACTACTACTACTACTACTACTACTACTACAACTACAACTACAACTACAACTACAACTACAACTACTACTACTACTACTACTACTACTACTACTACTACTACTACTACTACTAGCAGTTTAGCTCATTGTTTGGGCTGTGCAGTGTGCATGTGCCTGACTGCTCGCGGGTGAGTAACACAAGCGGTGAGCTTTCCACTGGGAATCCCGGCAATGATCTCCTTCCAATGTCAAGTCCTTTCTCTCAGCGAAGTGTCGCATTGCAAAGGCAAGGCACTTAGGGTTTCTGGTGGGGTTGTTCCAAGGCTTTGGTTCATGGCCTGTCGGGTAGATTATTTGTTTTTCCAAACACACTGTGAAAATGGAGGTTCCCCTCCTGAGTGGAGGTTCCGGGGATAATGATTCAATGGGTTCATTAGGAAGACCCGTCAGCTGCCCCCCCTTTCGATCAAAGATTGCCGCCTGGCAAAGCCATACCACCAATACAAGGAAGCACACTGGTTGGTACCCCCCTTCCTCCCAATCGCACCTTTCGCCTCATTTGACACAGGTCCATTCAGCTGTCCATGTGTTCGGTTGTACTAAAACGCGAAGCCAAAAGGAAACCATTCATTTTGGGTCCCCTTCGACACACGGGTCCCAATTTGGGGTCCACGGCACCTAGCAAGATGAAAAAGCCAACTGGCCTCGCGCTGCTCTTTGATGGGTTTAACGGACTTCTGGCCGTAGGACACGGACTTGCCAATGTACAACCTGCAACGAACCGGGATCGACAAGCTGATTATATAGCCCACAATCGTCACGTCGTCAGATGTGGAGCAGGCAAATGTGTAGAGGCTCTTGGGAGATGGACATGTTTGGAGGAGTCCATGTCGATTTGCAGAGGGGTGGGTTGGAACCCTCTCTGCAATCCATTCGCCTCATAAAAAGCAACAAACATTGGACTATTGTACTCACGTGGATTGCTCAGAAGTAAGAAAACGTCACTAGACATGATCTTCCCAGAAAGATTGTCCCAAAAAGGCAAAAGTCCAGAACATCCGGAACTGAGTATACTAACCACCTGCCACTGCGTATAAATTTCCCACCAGCCAGCCACGGGTGTGGAGTTCTGCCGTGGAACTGCGGACCCCAACAAAATCATAGCGCTGATAATGCGGGCATGCGATTAATCACATGCTATACAGAAAAACTTCCAAAACTTGCCCCAGAGCTGAGGCAACGCAGTTGAGCCTTCTAGAATTGATAGATAGGCTGAGGCTAAGGCTCCTTGCTCCTTAGCGGGCCTTTTGGGTCGTCTCTTCCAGATCCCGGCCCCAGCCCAATGTTCCTTGAGTCCAAGTGGTAGCCAGAATCCCATAGTAAAATGGATCCACCCCACGCCATATTGTTTCACCTCAGTGAAATCCCTAGACTGGATTCCATTAATAAAATGGATCCACCCATCCAAACGGAATCCGCAGGCTTCATTTCACAGATCCACCGACATCTCCCAAGTGCCGCGCTTCTTCCACTCCGGCAGCTCGTAGGACGTCTGTCCCAAGCCTCGCGCGGTTGGCTGGCTGGCTGGCTGGCTGGCTGGCTGGCTGGCTGGCTGACTGGCTGGCTGGCTGGCTGGCTGGCTGGCTGGCTGGCTGGCTGGCTGGCTGGCTGGCTGGCTGGCTGGCTGGCTGGCTGGCTGGCTGGCTGGCTGCCTGGTTGGGTGGTTGGTTGGCTGGCTGGCTGGCTGGCTGGCTGGCTGCCTGGCTGGGTGGTTGGCTGGCTGGCTGGCTGGCTGCCTGGTTGGGTGGTTGGTTGGCTGGCTGGCCGGTTGGTTGGTTGGTTGGGATAGCAGTCTGGCGATTCTAACGGCACCTGTACAGAGGCTCATGTTTGCACGAGTTTTCAGGCTGGCGACTTCCGTAGGCCCAAGGCGAAGCCAGGGCTTTTCCGGAAGTCTACTGTCTGCCAAGCTAAAGCTTTACACGGAAATGATGAGTGCAGATTCTTTTCAGATGTATACCAAGGAAGTTACAACATGTTGCGTCAAGGGGGGGAAGCCCTACAATTCAGAGCCAAACTGGTGCGTAGCATGAGCAACCATGAAAAAAGCGCCTGTTCTTCCGTTTGCTTTGTTTCTCTGCAGGTAATCTCACCCCGCAGCCTTTCTCGGGGGGGGGGGGGATTTTGTGTTCGCAGAAATAGCGCATCAAGACCAGACGTCCGCACAAGCAGCGAGGGATCCTCGGCCTTCAAACCTGAACCGTTCGTGTATGTGCATCGCTCACGCGCGCACACACACATGAGGTTTCGGAGGTCAGCATCATCCACAGTACATATACAAAGAAACACACAGCCACACTCACAAACTCAAAACTCACAACACACACGCACAGAAGCAAACAAACAAACAAACAAACAAACGAACGAACGAACGAACAAGCAATTAAACAAACGAAAAACAAGCAAAAAAAAAAAACAAAGACAAGACACACACACACCACAAAAAAAGTAATCAAACAAAACGACGCAGGGTCCACGTCTGAGTCACTCGCCCGCCTCGCAAGGCCTGAGCGATGGTTCGCTCGCCGGGCTCGGGCTTCGGATCCTGCGAGACGTGAATTGCACCACGTCCAAACCGTGGGTTGCGAAATCGGAGACCGCAAAACCCTGGCTGATCCTAGTAGTCATATGCTTGTTTTTTTACAGATTCTTTCTAGAGTTCTTTCTCTGTTGCTTTCTGCTGTTCTTTCTTCTCACTTTCTTTCTTTCTGTCTTTCTTTGTTTCTTACCATGGTTGAAGCCATTGTCGAAGTGGATCCCAAATTTGTGATACTGATATGAAACCATGGGAAACGAGTATTTGCTGGAATTCACGTTAGGGAATCATCAGAAACCAGGGTTTCTGAACAGTGGTGTAACTTCTGGATTTCGCAACCTGCTTCAATTTGCTTGGTTGCCCAAAGGACCCAGAGAACACAAAATTGACTTTGGTTGACATCAAACAAACTCAACCTCCCTGGTCTATCTTCCGTTCAAAGTTCAGTCCGTGAGATTCCGTGAGAACACATGTGCATTTTCTCACATGGACGGACCACATGAAATAGGGGCGTGTGGTTTTGAGGCTTCTCTGGAAAAAAAAGGAAACCAGAGGGAAGCATGGATGCTGGCGAGCTTCATATTTGTGAAGCCTGTATCTCTGTACTTGGAGTTCGCTTGATATACCAAGAACAGATGCCGTTGCCCTTAGGACGTGCGTGCAGCAGACGACTTGCCCTTCTAGTTTCCCCTTTTTGGTACATTTTTCGTCATGGTCCATGGTTCGCTGGTCCCTGATTTTTGACACGCAACCATTTGGGTGTCTTTTGAGGGGACCTCCCCCCCCCAAAAGAAGAAGATCGAGTTTCCTTTTGTTTTCCCTTCTTCAATTTACAAAAAGGGGTACCTCCCATAGGCAACTTGGCCCAGCTCGCTCCTCCCAGGGCCGGCCCATATCTTTGGGGATGGCGTCCAGAAGGCTCTGCCTGGTAGCTTCTCTGGTGGATCAGATCAGTTCGCCGAAGTCACCTCCCAAATCTCGGGTGCTTTCTGCTCCCCTGCTAAAAGTTTAACTTTTAGTGGTTTCATGGAAAACCCATTAGCTGGCAAAAAGTTAAAGTCATAACATCCAAGCAAAATGCACCAAAGAAATGGTACTGGCAGCTACCAAAGGATTGGCCCATAGTCCCCAGCGGGACACCAAAAGGATCCAGCAGTTGCTTACCAGTGGAACGGTACTGTTCTGTCGTTTTTGAAGGTTGGATCCACAAAACTGATTTCGATCTCCTTTTGGCGTCCTCAGGAAATCAAGAAATGACCCCTCTAATTAACCCATCCCCCCATGGTTTCCTTTAAGGGAATCTCTAGGGCACCCTGTCTCATTCCCTACCCGTCGCACCCCGCACGTCTTTCGCCCGACGAGTGGCGGCGCGGCGGCGGCGGTTTCTCTTTGGGCCCCCGGCTGCATGGCCTCCCTGGCCTCCCTTCGTTCCGAGGCCAGCGCCTGCGCCCTGGCGCTTAGGTCGAGGTTGAGGGGTGGGGCGGTGGAGGCACTCGAGTGGGGAAGTGGGGGGAGGGTGGGGGGGTAGGGGGGTAGGGGGGTAGGGGGGTAGGGGGGTAGGGGGGTAGGGGGGTAGGGGGGCAGCATTATTTTGTTCCCATGATGTTTTTATGTCTCCCTCTCGGCTTGAGTCCCGGCTTCGACGCTGCTGCACCCATTTTCCAGCTGCCATTGGCAAATAAGGTTCTCAAAAAACAATGGGGGGGGAGGGGACTTTTCAGGTTGGTGTCCTTCTTCCCCTTTCTCAAAAGCGACCAAACAAGTCCACCAAACGAAGGATCCACGCCATCAACCTTTCGGCAAATCCAACTTAGGAACCTTCGCGAGCTCTCCAAGGTGTACCCGTTGACCTTCCAACTTCTCAGTTGGAGGGGAGGAAAGACCCTGCTTTTGGTACTCTTTGGAGTGATACGAGGTGGGCTTCCTGGGTGAGAGGCACTTTTTGCGGAATGGCTGTTTGGCCCATGCATCTTTCCAGAATCCCTATAGGGAAACCCAGCTTCCAGTGAAGACCCCTTTGTCTTATAGCCCACAAACGTTGTTGGGTGACCCTAAAACATGATTGTCCTTGGTACAATCGATCGAAGCCCGTCCCTTCGAACCCATTTGTGTTTCCCTGAACATGAGATCCATCAAGCTTTCCCTGTATTTCCCTTAAATCATCACCGAGCTCACCCGACCCCAACCCCGTAAAAGATTCGGCACCCTTTTGGTTCCTGACTTTAGCGGGAAACCCCACCCCTCAAAGCCGCCAAGAAAGCGGTTTTCAAAAAAAGGCTTCCCAACCCACGTGTCTAAAACCCCATCCAAAAGGAAAATGGGCACGTGTCTGGGCCCAACGTCCTGGACGGCTTCAAAACCATGCCGCAGCTCGCGTGGAGGCGGCGCGCGCAAGGCTGCCGTCCGGCTCCTTGACCACCTCGATCGACGTGCTGGTCGCTTTGGATCACCAACCACTTCGCCCTACATATGGCCATGGGTCAAAATCCCGTACCCCCAGTGAACATCCCAACCCCGCTGAAATAGACTAAAATGGGTAGTGCACCTACTACCCCAAAATAGTACCCTTGGTTTTGACCCACAGCCATATAGCAAGTAACCCTTCTGTTTATTTTCAGCTTTTGAAGAGTGGCTCCAGCTCACTTCGTGGGTCAAAATTGACGCAGGGTTCCGCAGGTCGTCCTTGCAACACGTTTGCTGGGTTACCTATCTTAGCCACGGCGATGTGGATTGGCCAGAAAAAGTCCAGACTTTGTGTCCGAGGTCTTGATGGCAAATTAACCCCATCCAAGAAGTTGAACTTGCCGCAGGGGGGAAACAACATCATGTTCAACCAACAAGCAGGCCTTTTTTAACCACCAACTTGGCTGGAAGAATAGCAAAATAGCATAGAGAGGATAGAATAAGGGTACCCTTTTTCTGTAGTCTATTTTAGTAGGGGAACCCTTCCCCAAAAAAGAAACGGTAAAAGGGCACTACTGGGGGCCCTAGATATCATGTTCAACCAACAGCTTGGCAGTTTCGCCCAGCATCATGTTCAACCCAAGCCCTTGGTTGCTGTTGACCCCTCTGCAAAAAACTCAACTTCTTGCGGGTTTAATGGAAAAACCCCTTTTTCCAAAACAAACAAGTCTAAAGATCCAACCCAATAGCACTCAAGAGCCTGTAGCATTCAATCCCTCCATCCAAGTCGCTCCCCCCGTATCGGCCCCGGGCCCCGCCTGAATCGGCGAGAGTCTGACTCCCGCTTTCGTGGTCTGACCCCGCAGGAAGACGGGCTCCTGGCGCTTCGGAGAGGCTGGCCAGGGAAGCCAAACCCAAAGGCGGTACTCTCACCAAAAAAAACGCCGAAAGTCACTTCCTTTACGGATTGGCGTGCTTTTTTTTGGGGGGACCCCTCCAAAACGCTGAGTTCCCTTTTGGTGTCCCTTTCAATCCACCAAAAAGCGGGTATTAACTCCAACAAAAGACGCACATATGTACCCCAAACCAAAAAAAACGCTTTAGAGACCCAGGTCGCAGGGTCTCAGGGCCACTCTGCAAAAGGCACGTGACACCATGACTAGGTCCTCCAGCAGAGAGGTTAGAATAACGGCACCCGGTTTTCTGTGGTCTATTTTTGGTAGGGGAACCGAATGTCCCCCAAAAAAAGAAACGGTAAAAGGGCACTGGGGGACCTAGATGAGCATCTGCATATTCCAACCAATGTTTCTGCCAGTTTTCACCGGGTGCCCCCAAAAACATCATCAGGTCCAAGTGAGCCATCCAGCACGCGGACAACTGGTGGCTTCATGGTCTACATCCCACAAAAAAAAGGTCAAACCGAATGTCACAGACTGTCAGAGGAAAGGAGGGACGGCTTCGGTTGGCCGGAGTTCTGCAGGTAGCTCCATTCATCCTTCCTGTTGAACAGGATCCCATGTTTCGGCGTGTGAATTCCCGGATCAGAAGCTGGGTTGACAAACTGGCGAAAGCTGTTTGAATCCTGAATCAACGCCCTTTACACAGGAGGTAAAAAGCCCCCCCCCCCCCCAACATCTGACCAAAAAAGCATGATGATCATTTTTGTTAAAATCAAGGAACCTGAAGGAACCCTTGGGGTCCCCTAAAACCTCCGGTGTTTGGCATAAGGATAACTCACCCGATTCGGTCTTTGAGGTCCTTCTGCCCAAGCAGACCACCCAACCAGGAAAGCCGGCGGGTATAATTGACAAGAATGGTGAGAATTGGGATCATTGTCAGAAGAATTATCCCTTGCGACACTTGTGATGGCGCCCCCCGTTTTGCCAAAACATGAAAGGGCAAACCCAGGCAACAAGAACATGTCCCCAAAACCTGACGTGAGTTTTCGGGCTTCTCTGCGTGAAGTGAGTGACTCCCCCAAGTCTCTTTCCCAAGTGAACCATAGACAAATCACTAAAACAACTTCGACGGAACCTCTTCTAGGTCCTCCAGTAAAAAGGTTAGAATAAGGGTACCTTTTTTCTGTAGTCTATTTCAGTAGGGGAACCCTCCCAACCAAAAAAAAGGTGAGAAAGGGCACATTTATATCTAAACATGGATCTGTTGGTGCATCAGTACAATACATTCTTAATATTTTAGTAATGCAATCCTAGCTGGGGGACCTAGGCTTTGTTTGCTTCCGGTCCCGTCCTTCTCTTGGAGCTCAATCTCAAAGTCCTCCTCGATGTCGCTGTCCGCCAGGAGCCCCTTCTCCTGGCAGTCGATTCGCGTCTTTTTTGGAGGCTTGGGAGGTGCTCCCTCGTTGTTGTTTTTTTGGGGGTATCCTTTCTCTTTTTTTTGAGGGTATCCTTTCTCGGCTTTCTTTTGAGGCTTCGTCTTTTTGAGGCTTGGGAGTGGTTTTTCTTAGGGTATCCGTCTTTTTGAGTTGTTCCCTTTTTTTCTAGGGTATCCTTTCCTCTTTTTTTTTGAGGCTTCGTCTTTTTGAGGCTTGGGAGTTGTTGTTCTTGTTGTTGGCTGTCCTTTCTGGGGGTTGCTCCCTTTTAGATGTATGCCAAATCCTTTGACATACCCTCCCGTCCATTAACATGGAACCTGACAGACGGGTCCGGCAAGACCATTTTTTATATATGGACAGGATGTCTCCCTATTTGTTTCTAAACTTTAAATATGGGTGTGCCGTTTTGTAAGGGGATCGCAAACATGATGCGCCCGCAGCCGTCCTTTTCACGCCATGTGTTGACGAGTGTGTGTGTGTGTGTGTGTGTGCTTTTAACGGCGCACCCTTTGGTGGACGTTAGGTGGGGATTCATGTCCAGCAGATCAAAGTGGTTGCACCAAGCAGGCGAAACCAGTATGCAAGCCAGGGTCGAACAACGTTAACACACATCTCCAAACACGGCACACGCACACAGTTTGGACCCATCATCCCGATGATCGGTGATCCTGGCTTTCTCCAGAACGCCCAAGAGGTGATCAAATGTTGGGACCTTCCACACATGTCAACCATTTTTGGTCCCATTGAACATGGCGTAAAAAGGGTTCTTGGAAGACAAACACGCACACAAACAAGACACCATGTCAATGTGAGGTTGGATCAAACAACCAGGAGTCTATGGTGTCAAATAGTTTGGACCACCTTTGAGGCGGTCCCCCCCCCAAATATACATATATATATATATATATTAATAATAATAATAATAATAATAATAATAATAATAATAATAATAATAATAATAATAATAATAATAATAATAATAAATAATTAATAATAATAATAATAATGATAATAATAATAATAACAAGAAGTCACAGCCATATGGAGAAGTGGAACTTCCTGGCTGTACCACCGCTTACCAGTGACTCCGGGAAGCACTCGGAACACAGAAAACACATATTCTCGCATTTCTGGTCCACTAGAAAGAAAAACAAATCAAAACAAGGGAGGAGACCCCATGTCAGCCCCAGCGCTCTTCTTTTCAACCCCATGTCAACCCCATGTCAACCCCATGTCAACCCCATGTCAACCCACACGGCCACGCGGTGAGTTGTTCCGGCCTCGTCGCAGTCCAGGCGCTCGTGTTGCTCGATGACGCCGGAGGCTTGCAGCTGCTGGGCCTGGGGTTGAAGGATAAGCCGAAGGGCCTGGGGTTGAAGCCCGGCGTTGTAACCAAACATTGACAAGAGTCGCTTGGTCTTGGGGGCGCATCGGCCCTGGGCAACTGGACCTTCAGAAAGCGGCCAAGCCTATGACTAAGCGCATGACTGTAAGAAACGACGCATGGAATGGGGAAATCAAATGGCTCTCCGGTGGAAGTGGTTCCAAATAGGTGGCTTCCGGAGAAGAAAGAAGAGAACAGGGTGTTCTGTGGAGGGGCGAGAAAACTAAGGGCCCTTTTTGGGATCCTGGCGGCGTGTTGTGAACAAAACCCACGCCAGGCACCAGTTGGGATGGGGATGGGTTTTTCACGGTACTCGTGGGGAGCTTCGTCCATCCCAACGGGTGCAGAGTCCATCCGTATTTACCCTTTGGATGAGCCGCTTTCTTTCATGCCCGAGCTTCCGTGTAAGCCCAAGCTCGGCGAAAATGGAGCTTGTCCAAGTTGGGAGAACGTTTTCTTTTTTCCCCCCACAACCGTGGAACATGTGTGCCTTCAAACGGCTTGGCGCTGTCTCATTTCCCTTGGAACATCCCAAATGCGGCTCTCACAAATAGCCCTTCCTCACCATAGAACAATTCAGCGCACCTCCTAGGCTTTGGGCCAACCACATTGAGCATGTTACCCACAATTTCTTTACCCTCTGAACAATCAAAGTGAGAGACCCTAGAATTTCGGAAGACCATCTCCTGAAAAACGGCCCCTCCACTTCCATTGTTTTGGAACAGAGTGATCGGTACCTCCGTTCTTGGCTTCCCTGCAAAGAAGGCGAAACCCGCGCCCTGCGCCATTCCAAGTGAAGCCCGCCTCCCACATCTCGTACTCGTTCAGCTTCTTCTTCTGCCGCAGCTTCTTCCTGCGCTTGGACACATCCGGAGCGCCGCAGCCCTCAGGCGGGCAAACCTCGAACCCTGCCCCAGGTCGCAACTTGCACAGAGGCGTCTGCGGAATCTCCCGAAAAATTTGGGGAGGCGTTGTCTGATTGGAGAGAAGACATAAAACGAAGACACGTGGCATGAAATCGTAAGGGAAACCAAGAGTCAACTCGGCATGAAAGGAAAGCTCTTGCTGGTTGAAAGGGAAAATGAAGGAACATCAAAACGGTGTAAAGGTTAAAAAGGGAAACAAAAAGCCTAGCAATCATAGCGGTGTCAGCCGGCCGGGTCGCGAGCCTCTCGGTCTCGTTGTCGGCGTAGTCCAGCCTAATGCCAGTGACCTGGAAACATCAAAGTCGGCGCGAGAGGTCTGATGGCCAATTGGAACAACGCGATGGGGCTTGAAAGCACCAGAATCAGTGCTCTGGGTCGCCAAAAGGCACGGAGAGCGAGCGAACTCCCCCATGGGCGGTCTTCCGCCACTGTCAAGTGGGACCCAGTAGTCTGCACAAAGTGTCCTACAAGGAGGACAAGGGACATTTAGGCAGTCCCCCCTTTTTGTGACGACATTTATTGAGAGACCCATGAAAGCCACAGATTACCAGTAGTTTTGACCGAACCTCACATAACAAGTTAGCTTCCTTTTCCCAGTGCATTCTGCTCGACCAGAAACAAAGCAGAACGTGTCAGGCTGTTGCTCGGCAAGGGTCAGGATCTCTCCCCTTGAACCATGGCCCACTCCAAACGAAGCGTCTTCCATTGATGGACTCAACATGGGAGGAGGTTCGTCTCAAACTGGCGAGACCAGAACGAAAGGGCCACCTTCTTAGTTTCCTCTTTAAGACCACGCCAAAATAGCCCCCCCCCCACAAGAAAGGCGCCCCCACCCACGGAAAGACAAGGCGTCACTCATGTACTGCGCCACACCGGTTTCCCGGTTTCGTTTCCCGGCGAACTGCCCCTGGCCTTGCCCCAGGTGCCAGCTTCCTGCCGGAAAGTGCCACTACGTGCCACTCACATGCGCTTGATATGAACATGGGCCTAACGAATTATTACAGGACGGCCGTATTTACCGGGTTCTGCGAAGCAAAAAAAAAGCCCATCCCCCCAAATCCATTGTGACAACAGATGCTGACCCCCCTTCAAAGTTGGATGTGGCCCGTGCTAACAAAGACTGCGGAAAAACAACGCCCATTCTGGCTTCAGACATCACAGCATTCCTTAACAACATTGAAGTTTGGGGCGCGGGTGGGGGGGCGCGAGGGGCAGATAATTGGCTGAGATTAGATGTGTTTTTTTTCTTCTTTTTTTCTCCGCAGAACCCGGTATGGCTGGGACTATCCCCAAGCTGCAGCTGCCCACAGTTTGCTTTCTCTGGCTCGAGCCAACCGGGTTGGGTGCTTCTTCCAACAAGGACAGGGGGGGGGTTGTAAGCAACCACCTCCACCGTTATAAGGGCACTGCAGAGACCCACAGAAGTCCGGCCTAGGGAAAACAAAACCAACAAATGGGGGGGGCCCTTGTCTTTTTTAGGAGTTGGTACACCCCCCCTTCTTGTGCTTTTGAAGGGAAACCAAAAAAGAGAACCGCTGCGCCATTTTGCGGGTCCCCAAAAAACCAAGACACCCACAAACCAAGCTTCCGTTTCTAGTCTTGTTCAGGCTCGGAGCCACGAGCCCTACCGCAGAGAGCGCCCCTGACACCCTTATGTGGGTGTGTCTTTTTTTGGGGCAATCCCCTACAAGGTAGTTTTCCTTTTGGTCGCCCTTTGAAACAATGGTACCATTTTGGGGTAGGTGACCCACCCATTTTAGAACCTATTTGAGTGGGGATTGGGACGTGCACTGGGGGTCCGATTTGGATTTTGACCCGTGGCCATTTGCCCAGCTTCATTTCTTCCGTTGCTGGCAAACGAACACAGGGCCTTGGCAACAACTCCCTCGTGCCGGGACCTGAGCTGTGGATTGAACCCTTGCGCCTCCATCCTCCGCTTGCGCATGGGGTTGGAGGCGTCCAACTCGCCTTCGCCGACCGCACCGAGCAAAGAGCGGGTGGGAAGATTCGACCCCTTTGACAGGTTCAGACCAGTACCAAAAAATACACGCACGAAAAAGGTTTGGCGGGCTAGCAGGGAGCCCCTTTCCGTTGATGTTGTTTTCGGGAACCAAAATCTGGTTGTTTCACCAATTTGCCAAAGAATCAGGCACAGACGAGGTCTGCTACCACCACACCCCTGCTCGAACTTTGCATTTTTGGCAATGGCCCCAACCAAATCTCATCCGAGGTCGCCTTTGTGTCCCTTGTACTTTTTCGGGTATCTTCCACGTTAGTCCCTGGGAGGATTCGCAGTTTCTCCAGCAAACTTGGGAGTGGGGAAAACAAAAACGTGAGCCGATATGCCATCAAAGGACATCAACTGTTCGACAGCGATATTCGCCATTCTTCCAGGCAGGGACAGCCAAGGGATGGCTTGCTTTTCCGGGTCTTCCGCGTGGGTTGACAAGATTCTTGGGGTACCTCCCCCATTCTTTCCAGGATTCTTCTTTCTAGAAAACCACCAAAAACCCTGGGAAAACAGCTGGTGTTTGAAAAGAACGATGGTTGAAAAGAATGGGGAATCAACCCCTAGAAAAATGGTGGGCCTCGTTTGGCACCTTAAAATCAAGACTCGACTTGGACATGAGCCCATCCCACGAGGCGTCGTTTTGGCAGATCAGTCTGAGCACCCGGCTTTCCTCGACGCCCTTCATCTTTCGGACTTTTAAGTCCTGATTGCAAGTGTTCGAGCCAAAATTCAACGGGTTGCCTGGAAGCCATTAAAATGGTGGCATAAAACCAGGAACACGTTTTTAAGAAACCAGCGCGGCAGGAAATTCTACAGGAATTTAGCCAAACTCCAGAGGTTTGGTGGGTATTCGGCAAACTCCCTGTGGCATGTCCACTAGCTGGTCTCCATAATTCTACTTCTGGGATGCAAAGCAAACTCAGTCCGCCGATTGCCAGTGGATCCCGAGCGTTTTGCCTCTCATGTAGGTAACCAGCAATTTGCCTCTTAAAGCTGGTTCCCTCAGCTATCTTCTGTCACGTTTCGTGCGGGGTCATTCCAGCCCCAATCGAACCAGAGCCGCCGGTTCGTCCTCAGCCGTCTCTTGGTCCACTTCGCGGAGCGAGAGGTTCAGCTTCGACCCAGCGATGCCTCGGAACAAAAGCTCTTTGGTTGCATTTCCCAAACGGAAAGACTGGGTCCTCCAGTAGAGAGGTTAGAATAAGCACCCTTTTTGCTGCAGTCTATTTTAGTAGGGGAACCCTCCCCTAAAAAGGGTAAAAGGGCACTACTGGGGGACCTAGAAGGGATGTTGTGAGCGGCGGGTTTTTGCGCAGACCTGCTTTTTCAGGGTAGGCAAAACAAAAAAACACAAGAAACTTCTCAAGACTACTGTGGATGGCTTGCGAATTCCAGAAGTCGTACCACGGTTCAGGAATCCTGGTTTCTGATGATGTCATTTCTCAAAACTACCGTGAATGGTTGCGAAATACGTTCGCACCACCAAAGAACCCCCGAAGTGATCAGGGAGTTACGGAAATGGGAATCTTACTTTGATGCTGTGGATACCTGCGAGATCCAGAAAGCGCACCCCCGTTCCGAAACCCCGGATGACTCGATCCCCCTGTAAAATACCGAACCATGGCTTCCCCCTGGTTCCCCAGGCGCGAGCGGAGTTCGTCCGCCCGGGCCTGAAGGTTCGAAGGTCCCTTCGGACCTGTGTCTTTTGAGGGCTGTGGTTTTAAAGGGAGGCCAAGGGAAAACCACCTTGGGGGGCTCCACTTGCAAACCCCTTTGGGTAAAAGATGACCTCTGTGCCCCTCCAGTTTGGTCTGGTCCCTTCGCTAACCCCAGCATTCTCCGTCCACTTTCTATCGGGACGTGTCAGGCGCCGGCCGATGATCTTCACGAAGCAGTCTTGGTTCCTGGGGTCCATGGTAGGGGTGATTTCCAGGATGGGAACTTTGGAGTACCAAACCCTTCCTAGGGGGTGGGGGCCCCCTCAAGTGATGATTCCCCACAAGGGGACCCTAAACTGGGGTTGATCGGGATTATTAGGGAAATTACGTTTTGCTTCAAGCGGATGTAGGGAGTGACACTCACAATATTCAAGTCGCTGAAAAATCCCCTTACGAACATCTGGACCCCTTGGACCAAATCATGTTTTCTGCCGACATGGCCTACAAAAGCATCCTGCAGTACGGCAGGAAGGGGTCGATTGGCGGCCAAACAGCTCCCCTTCCGAACCCAGCGCTGGTCCTCTTCAAGTGATCCGCTGCTCGATTCACACTTCGGGTCTCCTGGCATCCAGCAGCTCCATGCTCTAGAGAACATCTTTATATGGCCATGGGTCAAAATCCAAATCGTACCCCCAGTGAATATCCCAATCCAACCACTAAAAAAAAAATGGGTGGTGCACCTAGCCCAACATGGTACCATTGGTTTTGACCCACAGCCACATATAGCCGGGGTGGAGGCCAAAAAGAGATTCCTCTACTGTTGCCTCCCCCCCCCCCCCGCCTTGGAGGAGAGTTTCCTCTGCAAGTTGATTTCGGGCGGTCTCCTGCTAATCTGGGGAGTGGGTCATGTCTGCGGGAACAACCTTATCTGACCTTTGTCACATGAGATCACTTTAAAAGGGATCCCCTTCGCACGGAAAGTGAACCTCAAACCCAAACTTTCCACCGTGAGTGTGGTGAGTTTGCCATTGGTAACCATCGCAGGGGTTTTCCGAGGTTCAATTTGGATGAGGCCACTTAGCAAATGCCCAGACCATCTAAGCAATACTTTCTTGCCTAGTGGAGACGGAAGGGATCCCTGTTTGTGCTGCTCAATTGAGTGGAAACCTAGTTTCTGTGATTGTCGTGCAATCGGTCCAACCCCCCCCACCCCCCCCCACCCCCCCCTCTGGCATTGCTTTGCCCGCGCGTCCACCAAGTAGAAACACAAGCTGTAACCAATTTCTGAGTTATACACCACCCCAGTGGCCCCCGCATGACCTGACGGTGGCAATAGGTACTGGACACCCTCTAAATTCCCTACAGATTCGCCTAGAGGACTCTTCTGTGGAGCGCCCGTTTTGGGAAATTCAGGCATGTGTCAAACTAGGGGAACCCACCCCCAAAAAAAAAAGTGAGACGGTCCTGTTGCTTCCCTTTGAACACCTGGGAAAGGGCAGCCTCACAGGCAAAAACCATTCATTGGGGGAGTACAGAAACTGCAGCTCAGCCACACACGGATCGCGAGAGCCGGTCCCGCGAGAGCTCGCTCAAGTGGGCTAGGCCTTCTCTTCTTCCTCGCGAGTCGTCAAATGCATCCGACCCCGGAACAGATCAGCGCAGCTCGCCTGTTTCGAGGGGACCTGGTTTTCCTGCTGGTTTCCCCTTAAACTTGCTGGTGCTCAGCAGAAAATGAGGGGATCACCCCTATAAACCATCCCTTTTGGCTTCCTTTAAGGCGTCCCCGGGTTCATTCCCTCATTCCCTACCGAGCACCAACAAGTAAAGGGTACCCTCAAAAAAGGCACACCCACCTGGAAGAATAATACAAAATTGCTCCGGGCTCCCTTTGCGCATCACAAAGGTCTTGGGCGTCTTGGGCCGGCTCCAAGATTCCCTGCAACTCAGGCACGTTGCCCCCAAAACGTAGTAGGTAAACCACATATTTACTCCCCTGCAGATGGATGTGTCTCTTTCTTGGGAAACCCGTTGGTTTCCAAAACCAAACGGAAACCAAACATTTTGCGAGGTTCCACGTTTTGTGCCAAACCCAGATTGAACCGGAACCCACAACTCATGTCTTTTAGAAGAGCCTGGGAAGAAAACATTGGAGAGTCTCGCGTTGCTGGAAGTTTTTGTTGGGGGACCCCTTGTCTGCCGAAAGGGTCCCCGTATACCACAATGGGTGTGGCTCAAAATTAAACAGGAGGGGTTACGCAGGTTTTGGTCCATGTTTCCACTTACCAGGGTTCCATTTTGATACCGGTTTTTTGAGCCACAGCCACATGGATTGCTCTGCAAGTCTACATCCCGGACCCTCGGAGGTTTCGAAGGAGATGAAGGCACCGTACTCCATGAGCCGCGAGACCTGCCAGATTTTCTGTCTGACCGGCACAGCAGGGGGTTGGTTCGCCTCCGGTTGCAGTAGCTACACCAGGGGTGAAAGTGGATGGCACATGTTCCTTCTTGTGGGGTGAGCAAAGGGGGGTAGCTAAACAGAAATGATGGAATTGGGACATCTACTTCACAAGTGTAGCCAAGGAAAACCCTTTCAAAAGCAAAAGGAGACTGGAGAAAGGTCACCAACAGGGGTAGGGATCCCATGGATAGGTATCGTATATCCCTTTTTGTTTGCAGGTGGCAGTATATCCTCAAAAAAACCGTGGGGCAGAGGTTTGGTGGTGGAACCATCTAGAAAAGTGGCTCTATATGGGTGTGTGTCTTAATAACCATAAACAAGTAAAGGCCGTGGTGTTCCTTTGGGCTTCCCCTAACCAACCCCAAAATGGGTCACTTGGACAAGGAGACCCTTGAAACCACCCCAAACATTCCGAACACCTCGCCGCAACGCGGGGTGTTTTTTGGGGGCGAAAGAAACTCTCGCCTCGGATCCTGGGCTACTTGAAGAACCCCATGTTGGTTGCCTCTCTTGGGAGAGGGCGTGTGTTTTTAATTAGCTACCCTTTGGTGGACACCACGTAGGTGGGGAGAAAAATGTCCGCCAACCACTTTTGAGGTGGTGAGGATCCCCTTTTGGCTGCTTTGCCGTACAGGGGGTTGAGCCCAGTCTCCGAGAGGCATGCTTCGTGTTTGAGGCAAATTCACTGTTCAAAAATGTGAAGGGTTTTGCTTGCTAACTGTGGACTCTGTGATGAGATTTGAAGGACTTTGCTGGCAATTGTGAATTCCGCAATGTGTCATGGTGTCTTTCTCGTTTGCTCACTTGCTACACACATGTGCACACAGAATGATGATATGTTGCAGTGTTTCTTGAGGGCAGGTTGGTTTAAAGGGACACCAAGAGGAAAGCCGCAATTTTGACGTCCCCCGAATTGCTTTGGCGCCTACCCATCCATCGCGCGACACGGCCACACTCGCCTGGCCCTTGTAGATACCATAGAGCTCTACCTTGGACAGTCCAGCTTGACCCTCTCCACCTCCAATTTCTTTGATCCCCTTTCATATGGCCAGTCAAACTCCAAATCGTACCCCCAAAGAAAAACCCAATCCAAACACTGAAATGTTTAGCCTAAAATGGGCGGCGAATTCACCAATCCCAACCAAAATAGGATCCCATCGGTTGTAACCCACAGCTGGACCCTTCCGCCGCCTTGAATCGAAGCGCCCCGCCCGATGTTTTTTTTTTCAAGGGGATACGAAGCCCAAAGGGCCCCGGAGACTTGGGCAAACCTTCAGACCCACCGAGCCCGGAAGCGACAAGCCTAGGTCCGGTGGATTGGATCCGGATCCAACCCCCACTGAACCTCCGAAGCTCACAAGGTGGGTTGGGGCTCGCCTTCTTTAAAGGGGGGGGTTCCCTTGCGTGGTTTTTTTTTGTTGACTTTTTGTTGTTGTTGTTGTGTTTGTTTAAGGGAAAGCCAAAAGAAAAACCTTGAAGCCATTTTGAGGGGTCCCAATTTACGATCTAAACATTGACACACACACACACACACACACACACACACACACACACACACACACACACACACACACACACACACGCACACCCTTGTTGGGGCCCTCAACGACTGGTCAAGGCTCCCTTTTTCCCTGCGTGAAAAACCGTCGAGTCCAATCCTCGCCCTCTGAAGATCAACTCCTATCTTGATGGGATACCCAACTCACTTGGGTGTGGGTCAAAAATAGGGTGCCCAAAATGGAATCCTGAGGCATGGTAGGAATCCTGGTAAATAGAAAGAAGAACTACACCTGCGGTCCCCGGATGGTTTTCATTTTGACCCACCCCCCCCTTCCGATCGAGTGGACTGGCCAAAAATGGCCCAAAAAAAGGGTCTAAACTGCTTGCCCAAAAATGGTCCAATCCCAGAAAGTTTAAAGCCAACTCGCGGAGTGAGTCAAAGATCAACTCGCCAACTTAGCCCTTTTGGCCAGACTCTTTGGGATGCTTCATGTTACCCCCGGATTAATAAACCCCTGGTTGAGGAATAGGGGGGTGTCCCCGTTTAGTGGGGATTCAGACCACTTTTGGAGGGGTTTCCACCCCCCTGGTGGGACGGGTTTATTAATCCTGGGTCAACATTAGCTGATTGCGGAAGGTGGCAAGTGACACCAATAGAAAGAGAATGGGAACCCTTTTTGACATCTTTAGCGGGAAGCTCAGCAGATAAACAGGGATGTAGAGGGTGCCAAGTAGCGTATGCCAGGAACGTCACAGACACGAGTCCGATGTCAGCAAAGACCCTCTCGTCAATCCTTAACAACAACGCACTCGCTTAGGCGTCCCATTTGAGAGCCGGATTACTTTTTAAAGAAACGCCCGCTATTCGAATCCGCATTTCTTTTTTTCCCCCCAAAGTCGACATTGCCCGACTTCTGTCAACATGTCCCTTCAAATGATAGCTTCATAGAATTTGTCTTTTCAGCTAGCCACAACAAAGCATCTGGACTAAGTGTTCCTCTCGTACTGACTCCGATAATGTTAACCCCGGATTAATAACCCCCTGGTTGATTAGGGGGGTGTCCCCGTTTAGTGGGGATTCAAACCACTTTTGGAGGGGTTTCCACCCCCCTGGTGGGACGGGTTTATTAATCCTGGGTCAACATTAACTGTCGCAGCATATTCGTCGGCCCGGTGAAACCAACCTGCACGACGGACACCAGCTCACGTTCCCGATTGGCGGGTGAATCCGACACTTTGGGACTGCGTCACAAATCGTCGGAAGAGCCGACATCGAAGGATCAAAAAGCAACTTTGCTATGAACGCTTACCTGCTGCAAGCCAGTCCCTGTACAGAACTCCTGAGAGTTTAGCTCCTAGGCTCCCATTGGATATCTCCCTTCCAACCAGCTAGTCATTGCAGCCAAAGTGCAGGACCTCGCAGGTCTCTCTTCTTCTGCGGCTCCTCCTTCTCTTTCTCCTCGCGCGTGGCGCGGAGCGCAAATGTCTGCTACTTTTGCAAAGACAAAAATGAATATGTCGCCTCTTGCTTTGAATCACAGCCACATCGTATACTTCTGCTGCACCATATATCAAAGGCCAACCCCTGCACTTCAGCCAAGCTTCAAAGGGATGCCGCATGGAATGCACAAAAGCGAACTAACCAATCGGGTGTTCTTGGATTCGGTTCATATTTAGTCAACCTTCAAATACAATAATATGGGTGTGTCCTTTGTTGAGGGCACCCCACTTTGAGTGGTTTCGAAGAAAAAGCAACAGGCACCCCCGACCCATCCCTGTCTTTTCCTCAAAAAAACAGGGGGCCATAGCACTACCGGCCCACACGCACGCTCGGCTTGTGCCTTCTCCCTCGGCCTGCTTCGGCTTCGCGGCCGCCTGGCTTCGGCATCCGGTGACCCTTCTCACATGGAACCCGGCGCGGGTCTTTTCTTGCGGAAAAGAGTAGGTTCCATATGGCTGTGGCTCAAAAAAGCCGGAATTCCAAAATGGGTTGCCCTGGGAAGTGGAAACATGGACCAAAACCTTTAATTTTGAGCCACACCCATATTGCTTCATAGCTTCATGGCTTCATTCCCCACGGAAGTGGATTCATAGCTTCATGGCTTCATAGTAGGTGCCATATTGGACAGAAGGGTAACCGTAGGAAGTTGAATAACCATGTACACAAACAGTGACAGACAGTGATAGACACTGACAAACAGTGACAGACATGACAGACATGACAGACATGACAGACATGACAGACATGACAGACATGACAGACATGACAGAGACAAGACAGGCAGGACAGGCAGGACAGACAGGACAGGACAGAACAGGCAGGTCAGACAGACAGACAGACAGACAGACAGACAGACAGACAGACAGACAGACAGACAGACAGACAGACAGACTGACTGACTGACTGACTGACTGACTGACAGACCGACAAACAAACAGACAGGCAGACAGACAAACAGACAAACTGACAAACTGACAAGCAGACAAACAGACAAACAGACAAACAGACAAACTGACAGACAAACAAACAAACAGAAAAGCAAACGAACAAACAAACAAACAAACAAGCAGACAAACAAATGAGCAAACAAGTAAACCGACCAAATGAAGCAAGCACAGTAAGCAAAGAAAGTAAGTGCATCACGAGCTTTCGCAGTGTGTGCATGCCCAGCAGCAATCAAGAATGCAAGGTGGAGACTGCAGCAAGCAATAAGTTTGGGCACTTGCTCAAACCCAAAGCAGAAGCTAAATGATCCGACGGATGCGGCGTCCACAAAAAGCTGCCTTTCATGACATTGACGCATGTGGCACAACCAACGCCGGGAGGGGGGGGGGGGGGGCACAAAGGAGAGATAGCCCTGTGGATTCCACCGGTGTCTGGAGGCCCCTGCAGGTCAGCGTGCTTTGTTTTATGGTGATGGACACCAGCACTAGAGCCTTGGTTGATGAGTTTTCAATTGGACTCAGATAAGGTGGTACAAGGTGTTACTTGGATATGGACTAAGGACTTAGATATTCAATGTACAAGGCGCTACTTAGATCTTAGATATCATCCTACTTGACCCGAGCAAGTGTTGACCAATGCATACTTCGACACCGGAGCGCGGCGTGTCACAATACTCGCGGGAAATTCCAGCATGCCACAAAACGAGCAGTGTGATGAAGGTAACTACGACGACCAGTTGATTGACATTCTGCACGTATTCCGAATGCTAAATATACCCCCACCTTCGCCATGCCTGCAACAAATGCCACAGTGGGAAAAGTCAATCATAATCCCGACAAACAGTAGCTTGGCAGAAGTGCATTCTCGCAGATACACACGGACTGTCACTGACATGAGCTTTGGCCGTTTCGTCATATCCCGATGGCATTGTAATAAAAACTGTCCGCATTTTCTTGTGGTGCAGTAATTCGCTTGGCTTGCACCATCCGGGTGCCATACACGTCGCCATTCGGACGCTTCACTGCTCATGCGCAAAGGGATCTCAAGGTGGGAGTTGGCGTCTGGCGAAACCTGGCTTCATGGTCTGGGTGGTTTCCAAGGCTCCACCTACCTTCACATAGAAGGGTGGGGGTGCCCCAATTCCCTCCGGAACATCTCAGGGTTGCTTGGCAGGTTTCGTTCAACAAAACCACGAAATAAAACTTGGGAACCAAACGCCGAAACGTGGCAAAGCACTTCGCCCAAAAACCACCAAAAGGGAAAGCGTCGGCGAGAGCGGCTAATGAGCTCTCCATCAACCCCACCTCTCCACCTGGGGCGCTTTGGCAATCTCCTCGCGGTACCCGGTGGTGGAAGCCGAGGAATTGTGAGGTGGGGAAATGGAACCCCCCCGAAGGACTTCTGGGTTGCTCCCAGCCTGAGCAAAAGGTCGAAGCTTTTCGTACTTCATGTATCTTTCGTGTGGCCGCACATGTGACACGGGTGATCCGGGCCACCTTACTAGGAACCTTTACCATGGTTGTCTGCACTCCCTATTGAGGCTCCATGACCGTGACTACCAACCGCAGGTAAGGGGGTCACGCTTTACGCTTTGACCAAGGCAAAACATATTGACTAGTTGGTTTGAGTAGGCCCAGTTATGTAAGGAACCAAAGGAATCCAGCAAAACCCCCATATCCTCCCGAAACCAAGCATAGGCTAGCACTGCCAATGGCGATAAGCTCGGTCCTTGGTGGCCATCGCTAGAGCCTCATTGGAGGCCTTGACATTGCTCCCGCCTCCGAGAGCCGGGGGCGGGGGGAGCGGAGGGGCGGGGAGGGAGGTGAACGAATGTGCCTTTGACATGTCAGGTGGTAAGGGTTTCTCGAACAGGTCCTCCAGTTGATGCTGACTGTACCGACTTGCAAGGCACTCCGTAGTTCATGACAAGGCCCTGCATTGAGGGAGGGAGGGAGGGAGGGAGGGAGGGAGGGAGGGAGGGAGATAGGGAGATAGGGAGGGAGGGAGGGGAGCGAGGGAGGGAGGGAGGGGAGGGAGGGAGGGAGGGAGGGGAGGGAGATAGAGAGGGAGATAAAGAGGGAGAGAGGGAGGGAGAGCGAGAGGGTCAAAAGGGGAAGGTGCAAAACAAAACACGGGCAGCCTCGGAAAAAGACAAAAAAAAAAAAGAGCGGAACCCAGCGACAGGCGAGACCTCGCCGCAACCTCCCCCCCCCCGGCCCAAATGGCCCAAACGGCCCTCGGGCGTCCGGACTCTTGGCATCGGCCGGCCCAGGCTTCTTGGGCCCCCCAAGCTTCTGGATCAGCCTCGGCGCTCCGACCGCCCCGATCGCTGCAAGCGACGTCCGCGATGTCTGAGGCTTTGGGTGCGCCTCGGGGCGAACCCCCCCCAAAAAAAAACAGGCGGTGTCCCCGTTTGGTTTGCTTGCAATGAACCTAAAAAGAGGTTCCCACCGTCAGTTTCCCTTTTCAGAGCCAACACCCTTTTTACCAGCTGTGCGCTGTGCAACACCCTATCCTTCGAGACTCCATTCGCACAGAGAGGGTCACCTGAAATGCTTAGACCATCGAAAGGGTAGGCAAAGGAGGATGGTCTCGGCTCCTTTCCCAGGTGGCACTAACTGTCGCCTTGTCCGCACCTGAGCATGAAAAAAAACACGCGCCCCGTGTCAAATCACAAATCAGTGGCTATTCTGCACCCAGGTTAAAATAATAGCCATTGACAAAGCTGCCTTAGCTCAATTTCAAATTGGCCGCTTGGATTTGTGGTTTCGAGGTTAGGGGATGGTTCACATTTACCTTCCTCAATAACCATGGGTTCAAATCCGCAAACCACCAATCCAAACCCCCGATTCTGGCCAATGCTTGGAACACGTCTAACTTGGCCAGCGGACTTCTCCTGTTTGACGATAGTTCACGATTCCATCCAAGGTCCGCTTGCCAGGTCTTACGGCATTTGTTATACATCCAAAAACCCGCCAAACTCCAAGCACCTCCCTGTTTTCCCCGGGACTTTGCATGCACACAGATGCGTTTACATCGGGTTTTTTTCCCCGGGTTCTGGGATGTACAAGGATGCTTTTAGCTTGTTTTTCCCCGGGTTTGGGGATGTATTTTGGCCGTTTGCTGAATCCTCAACGCCTTGATCCGCCCCCGCGGAATCCATTGGCGGGGGGCTCGAGCAGGCGCTGGCAGAAGGGCCCAGAGGCTGCTGCTCCGTTCTCCTGAGAAAGCGTTTGGTGAAGACATACACCACCTAAGAAGCCCTGGAATGGTCTGATTCCCTGTAAATACCAACAAACAGTGGTTTCCCATGGTTTCAAAGTGGTGCAGGATTTTGTCCATCCACAGTATGGGTGTGGCTCAATTTTTTCAAGAACTAGGGTTACGCAGGTTTTAGTCTTCGGTTCCATTTGGCAAGGTGCCATTTTGGTACATGTTTTTGAGCCTTTCCCATATGGTTCTGGCGACTTTTTGGGGAATCCTGAAACCAACAGGAGAAACACTAGTTCGGGGTACCCCAAAAATGGCGTGTTTTTCTTGTGAGTCATAATCAAAACCCGGTACAAACATGGTGCACCCACCATGCTTCAAGAACTAAGAAGGCGGAGATCCGCAGCTAATTTATTGCAAGGGGATCGTCCCTTACTAACCTTCCATCTACGCGGGGTTTGATTGTGGCTCATATGGGTATGGGTCAACATTAAACCACCAGAGGACCGCAGGTTTTAGTCCATGCTTCCATTCTCCAGAGTTCCATTTTGAGTACCTATTTTTGACCCACTGGCATATGAGCCATGGTCAAAACTCTGTTTCTTTGGTTTATGGTCGTGGTTCCCTTAGGAATCACCATGGCTATTCAGGATCCTACCGGGTGGATGCCAGTGTGAGAAATGAGACCGGGATCCAACATGAGCTGGTTCCCTTTGGCCTCCCGCCAAAAAAGAAGAAAAGGAATCATGGACAAGTCCTGTTTGATGAAGCATGGGGGTGGCTCAAAATCAAGAAGGGGAACGCAGTGTCGTTGTGTAAACTGGTGGGGTTCGGGGTACCCTGTGTTCGAGCAACTCGATCAAACGCAATCAAACCTGGACAACCAACCGGTTTCACCTGCACTCCTATTGTGGTGGCTGTTGTGGAAGCCGTCTATCAGCACATTCTCGGGGATCATCGTGTGGCAGAGCTGCTTCAATCTGCTTGAATGGGCAAGTTACTTAGTCAGTGGTTAGATTACAATCATGATAAGCGCACCTGGGTTCTTTTACAAATTACCCTGCCCCTTTGAGTGGAGCAGGAAGTATTCAAGCTGAGCTGAACTTGAGGTTTGCTAGCACCCGTGAGAGGGTGCCAGCGAAAAGGGGATAGCACCCCAACCTGATGCGAAGCAGGGTTTTTCCCGTTCCTTTGTGTCTATTTATTTTTTTGGGGGGGGGTGTATCTTCCGTTCTGCAAACAGACCTGGTCTGTTCAAGGCCCTCTTTCCATAGGACTTGTTGCTTGGACCGAGGCCCCCTGGAGCCAATGGACCCCAAACAAACCCAAAGGGACTGGCGTCTGCGAGCCTCCACTTTCATTATTTTTTGATTTCCCGAACATCCGTGTTGTTTGAGTTCCACGCTCATTTTGTCCTTGCAGACTTGTCTGGAAGCGGATCGACATATTCTCGGGGCTCTCAAAAAGGGTCTCTTCCAGAACCCTCCTGTTGTACATGTGTCCCAGTGCTTTCAAAGAACGGCCACCTGCGGAGCTTGGGAGGGACAAGTGTTGCTGGACACCATGGGTTTCTAAGTGTTGGCCTCTGGCTAAACCTTCTGGGAAAACGAGTGCCCCTGGTATTGAAGTTCGAGGAAACTTCCCCCCCCCCCCGCCCCATGTATATGGTTGAGCGCACTCCTTCCCGCTGACCAAAAGAAAAATTGTGACACTCACTTTCACCCTGGCGGTCATCTTTCGTGTGTTTGTTTCTCCTGAGCTCTTTTTCTCCCCCCAACAGAAAGCAACATCCTCAACCGGCAACTCATCACCCAGTGTTGATGCATAGATCACCCAAAACCAAAAACCAACAAAACCAACAAAACCAACACCGAAGCCAACAAAACCAAAAAGCGCGTCCTTCCCCAAAACCGTCCAACAAAAACCTCGCGCCTCTGGGTCTCAGAAAAGCCCCTGGAGCGCCCCCCCTTCGAGGGCTCGGGCTCGAAGGGGCGCCTGGAGTTTGGTCTCGAACTCCTCCGAGCTGCCGCAGGACTCCCCCAGGTCGATGACAAACTCCGCCAGCCTGGCCGGCGGCCGGCGGGGAAAATTCCCGAGCGCGGTGCGACCTGAAACGGGGGATGTGTCTCCCCCCTTGGAAAAACTGGGCGCCGCGTCCTTCTTGGAGGAGCACCATGCCTTTTTGTGGTTGTAAAGGTGAATGTCCTTTTTGAGGAAAAACATGTTTTGGAGGTTGTAAAGGAAAACCAACAAGAAAAAACCGTTGCGATTTGGGAGGGTTGGGCTCTGGAATGGCTCTGGGTCCCGAACATTCCTGCCCAAACGGGCAGGTGTCTTTCTAGGTTGCCACCCCCCGGAAAAAAATATGTTTTATTTCAAAAAAAAAAGCGCGCCGGCGTTCCTTTTTTCCGGGGTTCCTTTAAAACCACCAAAAAAGGGCGACCCTCTCAAAGTAACTTGAGGTTCATGCGTTTTAATCTGATGTCACTGGGATCCCCGGCTCCCCCAGCGTTCAAGTTTTCCCAGCCAGTGACCCCAACGCTTCAGGAAGCGCTGCTCAAGAAACCCAGCGTCATGGACCGGGGAACCTGGCAAAGTTTCGAGAGATGAAGGCGGCAGTGTTTCTGTTGACGAACATCTTCATCAAGCACATGCAAGCCAGGCGTGGGGGGGTCCAAAACTGCTTTGGCCGCAGCGTCAGCAGCACTACCTACGACTTTTTAAGAGTTGGAACCATCTTAAAAGTGGGTGGTGGACATGAATCCGCACCCTTTTTTCATGTCCACTGGCTTCAGTCTCCCCCAATTCAATTCATGGCCTAGGGAGCCCTGCGCTACAAAGTGTTGTTTAGAGACCTTGGCCCTAAGGAACATTGGGGGCCCTACCAACCATCGTTTTGGGACTCCAGCCGTGCTGAAACGTCCAGGCTCATGGAGGACATACCTACTGTTTGGCCCCAAATCTGGAACACTAAAACACAAAAACAAACTGTTTCACAATGTTGCAGTTTATCCCTTAAACAAAACTAGTTCTGAAGCGAGTCTCAAGTGTGGCGGTTCTCAAGTGTGGCGGTCACAAATCGACATCCACGTTTGGACTGGACACTCACTATTTGGCCCCGGCTGTCTGGGTCCCTGTACGGTCAAACTGCCAGCGACTGCCGAAAAATCCCCCCCCGGCCAAACCGTCCAAGGCAGTCTCAAGCAGGGTGGGGCAGGTGCAGCCATTTCTGTGATATAAGCTTTTGGTGGATGAAACCTGATAAACTCGGGGCTTGCATTCCTTGTGGCACCATTTGGGTGCGTCTGCTTTAGAATACAGATGAAATGGACAAACCACCTGGTGCCTGGCGTCAAGTTTTGTGTTGTCCACATTACCAGAAAGCCTTCCAAAAGACAAAACATATCTATAAGAAGAATCTTCCCTGGTACAGAAGTGGGAACCAAACCATTCACCGAAAGTCGAAAAGCAAGAGACCTCACTTGCCTAAGAGGCACTGGCTCGGATTGTGTTGATAACTGGCAATTGACTCCGCATCTAAGCAGAACCCTAAATCTCCCCAATCATTCATCATCTCAAAAAACAACCTCGCAATTGACCTCTTGCTGATGGGAAAACCCAGAAAAATATAGGGGGCCCTTCAAGACAAGCCAGAGGAGCGTCTTGTCTTCAATGCCCCAGTGATTCCTTGGTGCGCATCAGCCCAACGCTGGAGTCGGACATCCCCGGAAATCAAGAGGGTGACTTGTAGCTGTTCCACTTACCTGCAGGAAACCATGGAATAAAAGGGCCCTTTCATGGATGTGCATCCTTCCTGAGCACTGTCTTTTTTCGGGTGGAAGTGCCACACTGAATGCATCAGGCTTAGTTCCCTTTTGGCACTGATGCGCTGTTGTTAGCCTCCAATGATGTTGTCTTGTCCTACTGTCCTGTGGTGGCAGTGCCTTGTCCTGCTATCGTGCTGTCTGATTGCCTTTATCTGCTGTCCTCTTTTCTTGTTGTCTTCAAAAGAGTTGGTATCTGCTTTTTGTGTTGTCCGTCTATCCTATTGCCCTGTTGTGATGCGGTCTTGCTGTTTTGTTCTCTTGATTCCAACCCACGCTGGGTGCAACATAGGGGGTCTGAAACATCAAAACAAGCACCCATCTCTTTTTGGCTTCCCTTCGGGAACGTTCCAACATGCGGGCGCCCAATATCTCGCTTTGGCCACGGCTGAATCTCGATGGTCACCTTGGAGATCAGGCTCAGTCTTCTCAAGGCCTCCCAGTCAGCGTGAAGGCGACACCATGTGGCTTTGTCAAACAAATACATAAAGCACCTCCATCACTCTTTTGCCGTTTCCAGGATGGGACGCACATAGACCCTCAGCAAAAAGGTACATTGTGTGTGGCTGGCTAAAAGGCGATATTCCAGAAAAGCCAAAAAGGATAAACATAAGGGCACCTTCACCCCGTTTTGTTCCAGAGGAACAGGGCTCCTCAACACCGAAGCCCGCAGGAACACGCCTGCCTTTGAGCCCGTGGTTTCCCTCCGTGCGATTTTTTTCGAGCAAATTTCGCGGTCCACGAAGTGCCTCAGTTGTTCAGTGACCCTGGGAAAAAAAGGGAACCCTTTTTTGGGAAGACCATTTTAGTGGGGCAGCCACCAAAAAAAAAGGGGAAAAAGGGGGCCACTGAACAACTGAGGTGCAGCTTCCCTGTTCGTTTCCATCGACGCTCCGAAGGCCTCCATGAGAGCGCAAGGGCAGCCTGGCAGACGCGCCGCTTGGCCCGAGGTACACCGATCTGAGCCGTGCCTCTCGGAGCTCGGACCCTGACTTGGTATGTGAAGAGCAAACCAAAACGAAACCGTCGCTATGAGTCAAGGGACCCGTTTGAGAAACACGCAAAGTAGAATCTCCCACCGAGAACGCAACAATTCAACCCCCAAGATTGGAAGCTTCACCTTGACGTCGCGACCTTGCAGAGCGCTATACGTTGCTCTAACTTGCTGAGAAAGATAACATGTGGCTGTGGTTCAAAAATAAGTACCCAAAATGGAACCCTGTGATTGGAAACATGGACTAAAACCTGCGGTCCCCTGGGGGTTAATTTTGACCCATACCCATGTTTAGCTTGTGTCACTAAGAAACGGAGGCCCGAGTTTACGCTTTGCTTCAATCAAGAAAGCGATGCCTGGGTACAAACGCTGATGTGTCGAGCGGCTTTTACTAAGGGCAAAGAAAGTCCTTTGATCTCTTTCAATGATGAACACATTGAGCAACATGGTTGTTTTTGCGTGAACACGTATCTGAAGCATCTAAACTCAAACAATGACACTGAACAAATGCCGAGTCATGCGTGACTACGGAAAACCCATCTTGCATGTAAAAAGCAGTCACGCCTGCAGGCAGGCAAAGGGATGAGCGTTCGCGCGTGTGCAGGCGCGCATGGGCGGGTATCAGCATGCAGTGCGTGCAAAATCGCTAGATGTTTTTGTTTTTTTCTTTTTAAATTGTTTCTTTAAAACAAAAACACGCAGCCTTTGAACGATCCACTGATGGTGCCCAACTTGCGTGCATGGCAAGTGCACGTATAGTGTTTATGTGCACACGCCAACGTGCACATTTTCACAATGTATATATACTCTGCGCACACCCTGAACTCTTCGCGCACACCGCATGCTGTGAGTGTGTGTGTGTGTGTGCCGTTTCCGTAAACCAGGTTGAATCTGAAAACGCAGAATCCATTTGACGGCTATGCACTTGCCTTTCTACTTTGATGGTCGCGCTATGGTGCTGCTTCTAGACGCCAGGTCCGAGAGGTTGATTTGGGTTTGTCTCCAAAATCTGAACCCCCCAGCAGGGTGAAAGTAGACAGCACACATACTGTGGATGGACGAAATCCACTTTGCACCGCTGTGAAGCCATCGGAAATGATTGGTAGTCGGTATTTGCTGGGGAATCGTCATTCTAGGCTTTCTTAGGTGGTGAGGGATGTAGCCCATTGGGTAAGGAGGATGCAACCAGCACGGGCTGGAGTTGTACCATCTTCTTCCCCCCAACATACACAACCTGCCACTATGAGGATCTACACCCCAATTTCTTGCTGCTGCTCAGCATCCAACGACCATGAAGGGTGTCGGGAATGAACCGGTTTGGGGGTTTCCCTTAAAGCCCCAAAGGAAACCACAAGGATTTGTGTTGTTCTTCTTTGTTTCGGGGCTCAGGAACGAGAATTGGAATGACCCTTAATATCCCCTATGGTGTCCTTTATTCGGGAATCTCGAGGTTCATTCCATTTGAGTCATTCCCCGCATCTCTAGCACTCGCAAGCCTTCCCCCCGTCCCGTCCCTGTCCTGTGCTCGCTTCGGCTGCCCAGCTACTCTCGAGCCACTCGAGCCATAGGTAAAAGCTGCGGAAAAGCGAGCGGGACATGGGGCGCGGTTGATGTTTGGTCCATACGGGGAGTGTCAGCTTTTTAGGGGACCCCCCAAAAAGGTGTGTTGCATGTGGTTCCCCTTCAGATCAACCCCAAAAAGGGCACCCGAAGAAAAGGGACACACCCATATATTTACATGGTGAGCCATGGTGCAAACACTCCTTGTTTCTTGTTTAGGCCATGCTGATGGTTGCTTGAGAACCATGAGACAGATCCACGCTCCCCCATGACCCGGAAAGGAGACCTGCATGTTGACCGGAGGCCTGCGCAGGCCTGCGCAGTGTCTCCTTTTGGGCTCCTGGGCCCAACTAGGTCCTCCAGTAGAGAGGTTAGAATAAGGGTACCCTTTTCTGTAGTCTATTTTAGTAGGGGAGCCATCCCCAAAAAAAGCGGTACGGTACAAAGGCACCACTGGGGAACCTACCGTAGGTGGACGAATTAATCAAACCCTTACAGTTGTAACGCGCCCCCTCGCCCCCACCCCCAATTTCAATGCTATTGCCCGGTTGGATCGGGCTGGGTGGACGAATTAAATCAAACCCCGATGACATTAAAAGCGCTTGTGTTTAGTGTAACATTGACATTGGGGGGTACGGGGGGGTATGCGCTGCATCTGTTGGCGGTTTGATTAATTTGTCCATCTACTGTAGGTCTGAGTTTGAGGCCGAGTGTTCCTCCTCCTTCCTAAGGGACGAACACCTCCAGTTGGGATTTTGGGAGACAGCAATTCGAAGCCAATGTGCTAGGGAGCTATCACAGAACCGGCCGTCCAACTGTCAATCACCTTGAAACGACACAAGGGAAACTCAGTCATTCACACTGGTGTGAGGCCACCATAGGTGAACCCACCAAAAACCCCTTGCTGATTGTTGTTTTTTGGGTATGTCTAGGGGTGTCAAAAGGTCTGTGAAACCTGCGGAACCAGCCGGCTTTTCTTCACAGCCGTAGATCGTGCTCAGGCTTGGAGTCTCAAAGGCAGACCCTCGCACGTCAGGCAGGATGGAGAAGAACGAAGTAAGAACTGCTGGAGAAAAATATGGAAAACATGGAAGAAAGAAGAGAATCCGGTTACTGCATCCCGCGGTCTCTGAACCCGAAACCTGAATTACTGACACTACAGGCCGGGGTTTCTGGCAAAACAGAGGCTCTGCTGATCGACTGCTACCATCTCATGATGTCAGTCTTTGATTCTTAAGCTTTTATGTCATGCTTTTGTTCAAATACAGGCACTCATGATGCTGCTTCAACACATGGACTTCACAAGCACGCGTGCCTCTGTTTGCGTCGAATTGTTGAAACTACATTGCCTTCTTTGGCTACTGCCAGGGTTGCGCGGGCGCCTGCTGAGTGTTGTGATGTTGGCGCGCTCGCATGGGCGTGTTGGGCCAGTGGCTTGTCGAGCTTGCTGCATGTGAGACGTGCGGCATGTGCTCGGGCCCAGTGCAACCCATGGGACCTCCTCTCACTTGTCTTCAAACTCTTCTGCCACGATCCAGCGCTCCGTTGGTGGTCGTTTCGCCGAAACCCTGCAAAGCTTTTGTGTAATCCTCGGCTCGGCGCCAAGCGACCTGCGGCGCACCCCTTTAAGGCAGGGCTCCCTTTCTCCCTGTAAGCATCACCTGAAAAGTACACTCAGCTCACATATCGGGAAGGCTGAGACAGGTCTTGTAGGGTGCAGTTCACATATCCCAACCCCTGACCTTCCCCTGGCTTCCAACTATGGCCTTTTCTCTTGGCCTTCTTTCCGGGCAACAGGGGCAGGGGGATCTGGCCGGAAGCCAGCTTGGGAAGGGACGCCTGGGAGCCCAACCCCATAATTTCCAGGGGCTTCAGTTCAAACCAACCGGAATGAAAGCACCACGGAGCGAAAGAAAGCAGGCAAGGAAAGAATGAAATGAAGAAAGCAACAAGGTAAGAAAGCGGGAAAAGAAAGAAAGGAAGAAAGGAAAGAATCGCCCAACAGAATCAAAGCCACAACAAGACCAATCTGGACAAAGTCTCATTCACCAACCAAAAGTAAGAAATGAACCTTCACTATGGGCGACATTGCGATTTGCCCAAATGAGGCAAGTCAATAAAGTTCATGCTCATTCTGAAAATTGGCTCTTTCTGTGATATCATGGGATTCCCTTACCCACGACATCCACAACCATGCTCCCGGTTGGCCTAAGCAGAAGTGCACAGGTGAGCGCCCGGCGAATTCGTCAGGTCAACATGCAGGGCAGAACTCCTGGTCGCTGACCTACTCTTGGCCGGGTAGATGATCTGAGTGTCATATTTGGTGTAGAAACAATAATGACGCTGGGCCCGGAGTTATAAACCCGTCCTAGTATTGGGGTGGTGTTCTGTCCAAAAGTGATGAATACCCACGAAAAAGGGCACAGCCCTACAACAAGGAGACACCCCCTAGCATTTAACAAGGGGGTTGTCAATCTGGGGTCAACATTGTGTAGAATTGTTTCGGAGAAAATCCTTGTATCAACTTGCACACACAAGGGTAACTTCATGAGAGGTCGCCGTCCAGCCAATGGACGCGAAATCCCAACTAAAGGGGGGCCACAAATTCAGGTAAGACGAGCTCCCCTTGGATAGGGGTTTACGTGCGGGTCACTGGACAAAATCCACAGGTTCACCCAGGGTGTGACGTGTCGGCTGGCAAACCTTGCGATAGGGTCGGAGATTGCGGAGCGACCTGCCGGCTCCAATCACGATAGAGACCCCTAGTTGTGTTGAACCAGGTTTCTGGTTTGGCTAGTAGGCTAGTTCTTTAAGTTGGACACACCCTACAAGGACCAACCACCAACCGGTCATCCAAGTGACATGCAGGATTTCTACAATTGAGCTCCCAAATGCTTCCTTGGCCTTATGGCTTTCATGAAGCACCGGGCTTCCCTCGCACCTCGAGAGAAAAACTGGCCTTCTGAGAGGCAGAGAGAAGTCACCAGACCTTGTGGTTTACCGGACATGAGAAGGGCTGGGGCTTGATGACGCCTTGCTTGAGCAAGGCTCACTTTTTTTCCTCGAGGCAAACAAAGAGCAAACCGGGCCAAGCCGGCCGCATGCGAAGCGGAAACCAAGCGGTCCTCGCTGTCGAAGCAGTGGCGATACCCGGCAGCTCTACTTGGTGCCTGCGCAGAGGGGCTACGGGGATTCCCGAAGAAAGGAAACCACCAGTTGGATGGTTGATCTCGGGGTCATTCAAGTTCTCATCTGCTGAGAACCAGCAACATAAAGCAAACATCACTAGGCAATTCCCTGCTTCCCAGCTCCATTGCAGGCATAGGTTGGCCTCCCCGCTTCAGACCCTGCCAGATAGGCGTTTTGCCACCAGGCAAACAGCAAATGTCCTCTTGGTTTCTTAAAGGCCGGAAAACCCTTCGGTTGCCTATGGCATCCAGGTGGGAGTGACTTTTGTTGAGGGCACCCGTGTTGATGGTTTTCAAGGGAAGCCAACAGTAAAACCCCCGCCATTTTGGGGAGATCCCCCCAAACAAAAATCGCACCCAGACTCAAGCCATCTCTCAGCTGTGCGGACTCGCTGCGAGCGGACAGCACTCAAACAGTTGATGAGCTGCATGAATCGCTGGAAATTCTGGGGTCCCCGCCAAGGCGGTGCGAGTGTTTCTCGAAGCGGTCCGTCCCCCTTTTGGTTGGTATTTGAAGGGAGGTCAAAAGCAAATCGACTAGAAAAGGAAAGCCTCGCCTGGGCGGAAGTCCCCTTTTTAGAGGACCCCGAAAGATTGTGATATAGTAGTTTGTTGTTTTCCTTTACAACCGCAAAAAGAAACGGATACCCTTTCAATGTGTCTTTTTCTGAGGGCACCCTTTTCGTTGGTGTTGTAAAGGAAAACTCAAACCGCGCTTGTGTTTTATTGGTGGTTCTTAGCAAAAAGACACACCTGTTTGAGAACCCCTCCCCCCCCGGACCTCGGGACCTTGGGTTCTCCCCGCCTTTCTCCCAGGAGTCCACGACAATGGACTGACCGCCCAGGGACAGTCCATTCAGCTTGGAGACCGCCTGGTCACGCGGCCCGCGCGCGCTGCGTTTTTTTGGGGACGTGGAACGATCAGCTTTTGGACCAAAGGACCTGGACAATGGTGAGTGGTTTTGTGAACCTGGACGAACATGGACCAAATGGAGACCCTGTATTTAGGGCCCCCAACTCGTGATGGAAACAAAAACAAACAAAAGCCAAGGCACTTAAAGGGCACCACTTAAAGAAACCACCACTTCAAGGCACACCATGTAGTCCATCTGGCAACAATGGATCTTGCGCATGGACTTTGAACAAGCCGGTTACTTGATGGTAGCCGCAACTCTGGGGTACATCAAACGGAAACATGAAGATATGTTGTTCTGCCTCTAAAAAGCACAGCATGGAAACCCCGGGTGGTTCCGTAACCTACAACTCGACAAACACTTAGGGCGGAGAAAAAGAACAAAAAAAACATGGTTACCTACTAAACCCAGGGAAACGTGTCATCTACAAAATATTTCGGTGGTAAACCCCTTGCCTACAAACCCAAACGGACTCCTTCGTCCGACCGTTTCACCGGACGGACGTCGCCTCCGAAGCTTCCTCCGGTGTGGCGTACCTGGGCCCGGATCGATCGTTGCATCCTCTCGGCGCCCTGGAGGCTTTCCTGTTTGAAAAACCGCCCAAAGTCATCACCGAAAGCAACACGCAAAAAAAAAAACGGAGAATTCCGGGTGGCAACCAAAAAAAAGCAGCTTTCCTCTCTACTTGGTGGTTGGGATTGGTAGTTTGGAGGTTAGGGCCAGTTCCCACTTACCCTCTGCAAGACCCAGGGGTTCAAATCCCAAACCACCAATCCAAACCACCCACGGTTGGTTACCCGCACAGCTTAAAACCCCATGTTTTTCCATAGTCAAAGTCCCGCCCGTAATCCCCCCCAGAGCTCAAGCGCAATGGCTTCCAGTTTCTGACACTCAAATAATCGTGGGTCCCAGCTGGGGCACCAGCCAGGAAACTCCATCGGAAGATCGGATCCGGCCAACATAGGGGGGTCGGTCAATCGCCGTGCAGAATTGGCTTGTTCATAACCTATGGGGGTCTCTATCTTCTTCTGGGGGAAGCCCTCTTTTGGTGTTAATTTAAAACCAACATCTTGGGCCCCCCCAAAAAACAAGACACCTACTTGGGAGACTTACCACAATGACAAGTGGGTTGCAACCATGGCTGCTCAAAAAAACCTCTTGACGTACCCTGCCACTTTCAGTAGAGAACGGAGGCTGACACAGCACAACTTGATCATGTCATGGGCAGATACTTAGACCAACCTGCCTCCTCCTAATAGGCCATCCTTCACGCATTTTGCCAACTACAAACGACATTTCTAGATTGTGGTCACTCTTTAGTGAATCTTAACATGCAAAACTCACTTCCGCGGATTGGTCATTCCAAAAAAAGCCGGCTTTGTGTTTGCCACCAACATGATTTATCCAAAACGTTTGAAAGTCCAGCTAGGAAAGTGCCAAAACGATCTCGGAGCGCGCTGCGGCCCCCCACACCACCGCAGCAGTGCCCTTGCCCTTGCCACGGAAGATCTCCACCCACTTGCTCTTGGCAACCTCAGTCACACTTGCTTCAAATGGGTATGGTCAAACTAGGGGTACCCCAACCTTGGTGGCTTTCATTCTGGTTTCCCCTTTGAGACCCACACACACACAGAAAAGAAGAAGAGAAAAGAAAAACACTCACTGGCTTCATTGAAAGTGCCAACCCCACCCCACCAAAGCACCAAGCTGTATACCCCTGTTTGGCTGACTTGGTCGTGATCCGACCCGGGCAAGTTTGCTTGAGCCCACGAAACCCCGTAAATCAGCGCCCAAGATCCGGCCTGAATCCCCCCATTCGGCTTCCTGCCTCCAGACACAGAACCCCCCAGAAAAAGGAGCCTTTTTAAGGCCCAATCCATGAAAACCTCCGGCTTGCGATCCCAATATGCTCGTGGTTGCTTGGTAGAATATAAAAAGCCCTTCTCATTTGCTCGTCCCCACAAGCTTCAAGCTTAAAACAAAGCTTTGCAAGGTTCCAAAACTCACCTTCCCCAATCAAAAAACTTGATTCTTTTGGTAAAGTGGTTCAACCCCTGCTCATGTGCTCGTCCCCAAAAGCTTTAAACAAAAAAAACAGCCACATACGAGGCTTTTGGGTTGGTCCTTCACGCGCGGCTCGAGCGCGCGCCTGGCCTCATCCACCAGCGTCTGCAACTCCTTCCAGGTGGCTCCCTGGCCAAGTCGGCGGATGGTTCTGCCCGGGTGCCCCCAAAAGAACACACCCAGATGGTGACAAAAGTTTGTTTAAGTCGCATAATCAGGCGTAAGACCAGGCAGTGGAACCATGTGGAACCAGTTACAAAAATATGCCAGGGGGAGTGTTGGGGAGTGTTGAGCACTGCTCATGTGGGGTTTGTAGCGTTACCCTCTGTCCAACACGATGGACAGAGGTCAGGCGACCGGAAACAAGTCCGAACAAACGGGTTCCATCGCTTGCGCCAAAAGACGGGTTCGTAGCAAACCGACAGGAAGCCGTGCGTTCGGTAGACATGGAACTTCACCCAAAGAGATTTGGAAGAAGCCCATCCTCTTCCCAAGCCAGAAGTGTGCCCTCAGGTGCCCTTGGGCTTCTCCTGAAGGGACCCAGGACAGAGGAAAAGAAAGAATGAAGCCCCTGAAGTCCAGCCCATTTGGCTGTGGCTCAAGAACATGGAACCCTGGTAAGTGGAAACATGGACCAAAACCTGCGTAACCCCTCCTGTTTAATTTTGAGCCACACCCATTTCAACTGTGGGAAGAGAAAATCTCAAATATTTGCAGATACCGAGAGGCTCCAACAGCCCCCCTTCTGCACCATTTTCTGAAGTCCCCCGGAAAACGAGAAACGGATTCCGAGTGATACATTCCCAACATCGACCTCGAGCTCGTGCCAATGGCCAAACTAACCATTGACACCATGGATCCATGACTTCATTTATACTAATGCCGCACGGCAAACAAGCCCGGCCGTGGAAAGTGGGATAAATGCAGAACAACATGTCGCTGGACTTGAGCTCAAATGATCCTCAAGATGCCTGCAAAGGATCTTTGAATGGCAAGTGCAAGTTTGAGTTCTTGCAATGCCCCAGCGAAACAGTCGCTTCGCTTTCTTGCCAATCAGCCATCAAATGCCGTGGTTTCAGTGCTGCGACCAATGCCCTAGCCCAGCGCCTGGTTGTGCAAAATAAACCTTTCTGTGAGACAAAAGGTTGTTGATCCCCATGACTATCGTGTCACTGTCAATGAAATTCCGCTCTCAAAGAAACCTGCTGGTTCTCCGCAGGGAACGAGAGAATGACCCCTATGGACAATCTCCAGTGGTTTCCTTTCAGGGAATCCCCAAGCCCATTCCAGGAACGGTCATTCCCTACTGAGCACCAGCAAGGAAAGTTCCGGCCCTACACCCCCCAACATCCCCCGCAACCACGCGCCGCCCATCCGCAGCTGCGGCCCCCGCGCCTCTGGGATGTTTCCAATCCAAACCTTCTTGGCCGGGTCCTTGCGAGTCAGCTGAGGCCGACTGAGGCCAACCGAGGCCGACCGAGGCCGACCGAGGCTGACGGAGGAAAACCGAGGTCCAACAAAAGAAACTTTTTTCTGCACCAAAAAAGGGGTACACTGACTGACAATTTGCAAATTTTCTCACTCTGCTCCATATTTCAGGCAACCCTTACTTGTTGGTTTGGATTGGGGGCTGGGGAATTCGAAATTGCTGGCTACATCGGAAACCAGGTGCTGAACCACCGGGAAGCTAGATATTTCAGGGAACCCGCAGATGGGGTAGCACTTTTGTAGCTGACGCTGAAGCCACATTCGCCGCCACATTCCTGGACGCCACATTACCCTCTTGACGCCACATTCTCTTGGCGCCACATTACCCTCTGACGCCACATTACCCCCTGACGCCATATTCCACTGACGTCACATTCCCCCCTGACGCCACATTCCCCCCCGTGACGCCACTGACGCCACATTCCACTGCCGCCACATTCCCCCGTGAAGCCACATTACCCCCCCTGACGCCACATTGCCCCGTGATGCCACATTCCCCCCCCTGACGCCACATTCCCCCCTGACGCCACATTCCCCCGTGACGCCACATTCCCCCCGACGCCACATTCCCCCCTGACGCCGCATTCCCCCTGACGCCACATTCCCCCCTGACGCCGCATTCCCCCTGACGCCACATTCCCCCGTGAAGCCACATTCCCTCTGTTTGGCAGGCCCCTGGGCACCCAGACGAATCCAGACGCAGTTGTCAGCTGCGTCTGGCTTCGTCTGGATTGCTTGCGGGCCTCTGAAAGCCACGCTCAAGTTGGCATCTGCTTGTCAAAGCTGCGTGTTATGAAACTGAGATTTTATCAGCAAGGGAAAGAATGGAGAAGTGACCCTTAGAATACTGCTCATGTTTAGTTTGTCTTTTGAACATAACCAGGGGGGCGATGCAAATTTCAACGACGGTGTTGCAAATTCACACAACTCACGGACAGCGCACGTGCACACGGGGGTTTCTCAAAATAGGATACACCTTTTGGGTGTTCACTTAAAACCAGCCAAAAGAGGGGGGCCTCCTATTTTGAGAAATCCCCAGATGAGTCAAAATCAAAACCTGGTACATAAATCCTGTTCCCCCACCCTCCACCACAAAGTGAGCTATACTTTGGCGACCGCTTGGAGATCTTGGGTGGCATTATTTACCCTTCACACAACCCGCGGCCTTTGGCTTTGACTCAAATAACCCCTCTTTGTTCAGTGAAGGGGTTGGCATTAAATAGATGGCGTAGGTCAACAACAGGCATGGAACAACATGAAAACGGGTTTTAATTTTGACTCACATTTGGCGTCCAGCGGTTGGTTTTCTTCTCTGCGGAGGCGTAGTGCAGCAGCGGCAGCAGCTTCTGCGGAGCGCAAGTGGCGCGGCAGAGAGGGCAGGATGCTTTGATGCCACACCTGAGCACCAAAATGTGGATTCCCTTTCTGGACCCTCCCCCACCCACTAACAGTGACCACCATAATGTTCTCTATTTTAGTGAATGGGTTTTGGAAAAGTGCTCACTTTCCACTGTTAGTGGGAGGGGGGAGGGTCCAAGATTCCCTAAGTGTTGCAGCCAAACTACCCAGCTGTGACCCGTGGGTGTGTCTCAAAATGGGGACCTCTTTTGGAGCTGGTTTTCCTTTTGGTTTCCATTTAAAGCCTACCAAAACAGGGTTCCCTATTTTGAGACAGACCCCCGTGGCCATGGGGAAAAAAAGGCCTGCCTTGGACATCCACTATCATCCATAACGACAACGTCCAAACGGAACGGAAGAGAGGCCTTTTCCAAAATTGCACTCATCTTCCAAAGATTACCGGGCCTAGAAAACTCATCCACTACGACGTCCTTTTTAATTCGTGCAACCAAACCAACTGAATCATGCGTGATGAATCATTGCCACTAGGGGGATTGCCTCAATCTGGCAACTAAATCGACATAAACCAACCATTGTGCATGACCAAGACATGCCGAAACCGATCTTAACTAGAAGGTCTGGTTGCTGCCATAGTTTTCTCAGGAATCTGTCCAAGCAGGAAAGGTAACAACAAGGCTACTCACATGACCCAGCGACAAGAAAGGACAAATTAAAACGAATTCCGGCATTCACAGAAAGACAGCTGTGCATCTGGCACCTTCCAATTTTCCCACCCTTGGGGTTGCAGTGTAGGGAAAGGGAAAAGTTTGGACCCTCCCCCCATACACTAACAGTGGCCACCAGGATTCTCTGTATTTTATTGGACGAGTTTTGGAGAAATCTTAACTTTCCACGGGCTTTGTGCTGCCCGGGGGAAGGGTCCACAAAATTGCCTCTTCAAAGGAGCCCCTTGAAATATACCCATGAAAGGGCCGACCTCGGATCAATCAACTCCTGGCTGATTAAAAAGGGCTTCCGCTAAAAGTTTGTCTCTTCATTTCTGGTTGTATCTTGTAAGCGCAGCAGCACCGGCAGCCAGTGTCCCCACTTCCGCCAGCTGCGCCAGCTGCGCTCGCCGCGGCAAGTAGCACGCGGAAGAAGGCGCTGCAGAGGCGTTGGGCAGTAGCGGCAGGGCGAAGCTGGGAGACAAGCAGCAGCTCGGTGTTTGATACGCTGATGGCAAACGCCTGGCAATACATCTTTGCCCTGTGGGAATCTGTGTCAGAAAGAAGCCAAGCTATCTTAGGTCTCAGCACACCAATGGGGCTGAATCGAGAGTAATGAGAAACACGATAATACTCTGAAGTGCCCTGTCTCATATGAGTCCCTGCCTCCAGCTACGAACACTGAATACGAAACTATAGGGGAGCCTTTACTTCAGGCAGCAAACCACTTACGTGAAGTAGGGCTCGTCTGATAACACAAACAAGCCAGTTGCAAGAAGCATCAGGGTGCCAGATCTTGAAGGCAAGTATTTGTAGCGCGCGCGTACTGTAAGCACGGTGAAACGCAGACAGGCGGAGATGCCTTACTGCTGATGGTTGTGACAGAGGTTGGCCTGTCAAGGTTCCCACCTGTTTTATGATCCCAGCTTCAGGGCGAAGACATGGAAGCGAGGCAACAGCTGGGCACAGTGCAGTCGCTTTACTGCTGATCAGATGGCGCCCTTTGAGGCATGTCTCCGGACCAAGCATCTTCTGGGCCCAAGCCGTGGCGAACGAGCTTCTGGACAGCTCGAAGAGCGCGCAGCCGATAAGCAAAGCATACAAAATTATAAGTCCTGGGGTGGGTTCCTTCGGTTCCCATTCCGAAGTAAGCTTTCGCTACCATCACGTTTTCCTGCCAAATTTGAGCCTCAGGTCTGAACGAGTGGCATCTCTGACTCACGAGCACATCTTGCCCATGATAGACAACGTCTGCCTTGTGATATCCTGAGTCAGCCACAAGCAGAAAGAAGACAACTTACCTAAACTATCCCTGAGCACTGCATGCAACTGTGAGTTTGACTGCGTGGAAAGGACACAAAAACACGACTGCATTCCAAGCCGGCGCACGCACTTGGACGGAAGCACCCTCAAGAAGTCCGGCCACGCTGTTGGCGAAAGCCGTGGGGACCGCATCCCACATGGCCGCAGCATAGCGAAAGTCCGGATGCACGTCCACGGTCCAGGGCACAATTGGCATGGAGATGACAGCAGCAAGCTTGTAGTCCTCTTCTTCATCGCCTGCTTCGTCCTTATTAAGGGCGAATGAGGTCGAATTCGAAGTTTCTTGAAAAAGCCGGAGTGCTTCAGCAGAAACGCACCGACATCCTAGTGCATTCAAACAAGGAGGGGCGCTCGTCTACCAGTTCTACACCCTTCATCCAGACAGGCGGAAGCAAGGGGGATGTGTTCCATTCACCGTGGGGAAGCCTGCGGCCTTTCTATGAACTTAGTCGGGCCAAAATGGGTTCCAGGAGCTTCCGCGGACTCCTGGGGTGTTTTCTGGGGTGATGGGCAAAGGAAAAATAAGGGCTCCGCGAACGCCGCATGCCTTCCGCGGAGGCACAGCCTTCCGCGAACACCGCGTGGCTACCACGAACGAAGCCGAACGAAGCCGAAGAGCAACTTGCACCTACTTCTGGCAAGGCACATCTGGCGCGAACACGCCTTCTTTCTCTGCTTCGGCGTGCCGCCAGGCTTTTACTGCCCATGCAAACACCTGTGCCTGGACCCAGTTCCAGAGCGACGAGGGTACCTCGTCGGAGGCCTGGTATCGTGGCAGGCTGCGGTTTCGCTGCTGACGCTCCTGCGCACGCAGCTCGGCCAGCTTTGTCAGCGCATCGCCGTCTCGGAAGAAGTCTTCCACCGACGGTTCGTCGTCTGACTCTGCATGGGAAAGGCATTGTTCCCACCCGTTCGCCTCGCCCCACTCAAATGCTCACCATTGCCCCGCGCTGTTGGGCTCTCCAGGCATACCCGGCCCAGTGCCGCCGCCGCCACAAGTGTGTTGCCAAGTGCCCCAAACAGTCCATCTGTGTCCGCTGTGGCCACCACTCAATCAAGAGAGTCAAGTCACAGCGTACCCGCGATAGCATGACAGACAACTTGCCTTTGTCTAGAGCATGACCAAAGAAGTCCTGATCCCATGGGAACCTGCGGAAGAGGCACGCCACCACAGTATCCGCTTCAGAGCCACGGATCTGCCTCGTGGTCAGTACAGCAACCTGACAGGGTATTACACGGTCATGCGCGAGCCTTCCCAAGCATACCTAGTCCTAGGCCTAAGCCCACACTGGCCTGTGCATCAGCCGCTTGCTGGGTTGTGACCTGCATGTTGCGAGTTGACCTGAGGAAGGCAGCCAACAGCTCCCTGAAAGCTGCATAGACAACGATAACCAGCACCCGCCCGTGGGCAAGCTTGGCCTCGATGATCTCTGCCAGCCTTGCAGTTGGCTTCGGGACAAGCACAAAGTTAAGTTTGAAGCACTAGGTTGCCCGCCTAAGAAGGCTGATGTTGTGAACATGACACACATGTTGCAGCCGAGCAACTGGGCAAACACCTTCCAGTTAAATAAGCTGCCAGCCTGTGCGCTTGCCAACGTCCAGTCCACCCACCCGCAGTTGACGACATCCACTGTCGTGTCAGGTGCGTCCGGGTTGGGTCGCAGGTCGCTGTGGGAGAGAAACACTTCGCTGAGCAAACTGGTAATGCGAGTTCCATGCCTGAAAGTTTCCATGAGCCTGTGAGTGCTGGCACAGGCCTCCAGCCACATGTCATAGTGCTCTTCCTTGATGGGGTGGTCGTGGCTGTCAGATGCCCTTCCTTTGCTCCGCTCATTGATTGCCAGCATTTGCTGGCTTGGGTCATAAGCTGCCAAGAGGAAGGCCGAAGCACCGCTGCTGGCCACACTGGCTGCAAACGGAACCATGTCCGGCTCATCTGACACATGACCCCCAAGATCCGCTCCACGGGCTACTCGGCTCATAGGGAGCTTCTCGCCAGCCTCGTATTTGAGCTTGTAGGTGGTGGTGCAGACCACAAGGCGGGCCGTCTGAGCGTGGGTATCCAAGACCTCTTGCATTTTGTCAGATGCATGGAGCCGAAAGTTTGCCAAGAAATGCGCCCTTAAAGCGTTAATGGCACCGGTGTAGGAAGCAGCAGAGTTCGTGCGATCCACCAAGTCCAAGGCCTGGTCACATTCTTCCTTGAGGCGCCGGATTTCCTGGAAGTCTTCGGCAAGGGTTTCTTCACAGAGGGCTTGCTGGTGCTGCCACAGGCGCTCATAGCCGTCCGCCGTTTGCCCAGCAGGCGCGAAGGTTCTTGTTCATGAGGCGGCCAGCAACCAGTACTATTTCTGTCACCAACTGTTTGGTGGGTGCAGTCAGCCAATGGAGCCTACGCCTGCCACTGTGGGACTCCGCCTTGATAAGTGCATGGAGGAAGAGAAGGCAAAAAGTAGCTTTGCCGCAGCCAGGGGCTGCAATGAGCCTGCGCAGCGCGGGACCGCTGCCAGCTGCGAACTCCCTCCTGCGCAATATAACAAGGCATACAATCAAACGCCAAATCGCTGTCATCTGGTCAACAATTACGTGAGTTATAATTTTGAGATGGCGGCTGCTAGGAATTGAACGAGCCGAGGGGCATCACCGCCAGTTGGCGCTCGTTGGCCTGCACATCGAGCAAGGCGTGGTGCTCCAAGTACCAGTTGGCCGCCACCCGGAAACTATCATCTCCTGGGAAGACAGGCCGCTGGGCAAGGATTGAGTGGACTACAGGGCAGATGTCGCGCGAGTGCGCGGAAGCGTCCCAATGCAGCTTTTTCAAAGCTCTCCAAGCCTTGGTCAGCCAAGTAACATCAACCAGACGCACTTTGACAGAAACAAGGGTGCGTGTGCAAACATGCAAAAAGAAGCCGCCGCACACTTCAGACTTGCACGCAAAGTCGCTCACACTTCATGGAACACGTGGCTGAGCACCACCACCACCGCGGGAGCAGCCTGAGATTTTGACATGTC